TCGTGAAATCATCCAAGCAAAACTGACATTATTCTTCTCATTTTCTATGCCAACACACACTTGATTTGCATCAGCTGACATCACTGCGTTTGAATAATACAAAGGGAAATACCACTACCCATCTCAAAACAAGGTGTTGCGATACGCTTTTAGATATACATGTACCCGTTGATATGACTCAAGAGCTCATGAGCTGGATGATAGAAGTGGATGCCCCGTGAGATGGCATACTGACTCATCGAAAGCCATCTTACAAATTTGGAACAATGAAGAGTCGGATTCTCGATACGTGATTTTAACATTCCCCTCGAATTTGTTTGACATATTTTACAAACTTAACGTAGGTGTCTGATCCACGGTATTCCAGGACAGTATTGATACTCACTCACACACTTAGGCCTTTCATGTGAAGATATTTCACGTACCACTCTAGTAAGGATTTGTGTGGCGACTTCCGTCAGGTGTTCACTTACTAAATGACCACTTGGTGTTTCATTATAAAACAACGCTCCATCTTATCATGGTGGTATTATGTTAGTTCCAATGTTAATCAGGGGCGGTGGGGTAGCCTAGTGGTTAAAGCGTTCGCTCGTCACGCCGAAGGCCCGGGTTCGATTCCCCACATGGGTACAATTTGTGAAGCCCATTTCTGGTGTCCCCCGCCGTGATATTGCTGGAATATTGCTAAAAACGGCGTAAAACCATACTCAGTCAGTCAGTCCAATGTCAATCCGTAACATCGGGAGTTAGTTCGATGGAGACAAAGACTACACGAAGATTTCCTTCTCCGATGTCAGTGACAATAAATCGTTAAGTCCACCCAGATGCCTTGCGGTTGCCCTTTTCAGTTATATTGCCCGTCATACCGCCTGAGGAGCTATAGCAAGATGTGTTACGCTGGCCGAATCTGTATCACTCTGGCCAGTTCTGGGTCTCTGGTGAACACTCTCCGCCCGATAACATCCTGGAGATACCCTTGGGACATGTTTCTGGACTTTAAGTACCAGGACAACGTCCGATAGGCGAACGCTAAGCCTTTCACTAATATACATATATAAAAAGAACTCCATTTTGGTGGAAAATGATCACAGACGGAATGCCCATACGCATATTCGACGGAGATACCGGTGACAGGCTGGGTACCGATGTGGTCTTGCATTCTGAGCTTGCAGTTCCAAGTTTCTCTGGTAATTCGATTGACTCGAACAACTTAACCATCGTCTGGAACAGTTCAAGTTATACATTTATTGCAGTATCTTAAATTCTTTTGCAGTTTTGCAGTATCTTAGTTTCTCCTGAGGCCGTCCAATAAAGACATTTCTGATATGTATGTTTGTAGAAATGTCATTGTTGTTTAACGCCGCAGTCAGCAATATTGAGCTATATTACGGCGGTCTGTTAATAACAGACCCTGGACCAGACAATCCAGTGACTGGCATTCCGAGCATTGACCTCCACAAGTGATGTCTCTCTCTATACTGACACATAACTGTGTTATACTGTGTAATTCATAACTAGAGAGAATGTCATTCCATTGTCTGCTCGCTCCATTACTTTTCAGGAATGGAGCAATGTGTACCAGTTTCAAATTAAAGCCTTCATTTTGTCATTTTGTCATTTTATTTTGATAACAGAAATATTCCCAATACTTTGAATGTAATCTAAGTAGGGTAATAGCCTCGTAACTCTCCCATTGCATCAGCTCCATTAGTTTTAAGGAATGGAGAGTTACTCGGACATTACCCTCTACTGACAGACGTAGATCTGGTAGACCAAGGGCAACAACTTGCTCACAAGACCGTTTTACCTGAAAGACTGTTACGAAACCAGGGATGATCTTCACAGAGCTACATATGTTACAGTAAGAGGTGGGACGATTAGTAATCGGCTCCACAGATAGAACCTGCATGCCCGACGTCCACGTGTTCTGGCGACATTGATGGACCGCCATTACAGCAAGACGTCAAGAACGGTTGGCTGGACCAAGTCGTTTGGCAAACATTATGTTTTCTCGTGAATGATTCTTTACTTTCTACTTCCTTGAGACAACAGAATGTGGCGTAAACGGAATGAGCGTTTTCATGCCCTTGACGTTAGACAGAACGATCTTTTTGAGGGTGGTTCAGTTAAGGTGTGGTGTTCGATCACCGTGACTGGCAGAACACCTTTACATGTTATTCACGGACGTACCACTGGGCAGTACTACGGTGCAATTTGGACACCGACATGGACGTTGTTGTGTTTCAGGATGACAAGGCGAGAGAACACAGGGCTTGTATTGTTACTGTGTGAGGTGAGGTGAAATTGGGTTTAACGTCGTGCTTGAGAATATTTCGCTCATATGACGACGTGCATGCGTGTGTATGTGTATGTGCGGCTGCTTGTACTAGCCCAGACTTAAGCTGGTTTTATAGTGCTAGCCCACTGAGATACCATGCCGCAGTGAAGCATGAATACCCCACTCAGACACATTATACTGACTCCGAGCCGACCAGTCCTTGTTGTACCCATTAATGCCGAGCGCCAGGCAGGGACCAACAAGTACCATATTTTAACGTCTTTTGGTATGACGCGTTCGGGGATCGAACCCGCGACCTTCCACTCTCCGGGCGGACGCTCTAACCACTACACCATGGAGGCGGTCTGTTACTGTGTACCCCAACAGAAGAACGCCACCACATTACCATGGCCAGCACTCAGTCCACACTTGTCGCGCATCCAACATGTCTGTGGTATCCTACGACCGCATACAGGGCATCGTCAACAAACAGCGACCATGCTCAACGAACATGGCACTGCCCTGCAAGAAGAATAGGATGGAAGGAACCAAGTTGACATCAGACGTTTTATTGTTAGGTGAGTGAGTGAGTATGATTTACACCACTTTTAGCAATTTGCCAGCACCATCACGGTGGGGAACACCAGAAAAGCGCTTCACACATTGTACCTATGTGGGTAATTGAACCCGGGCCTTCAGCGTGACGAGCGAACGCTTTAACCATTCGGCTACCTCAATGCCGATTTGATTGGGACTATGCCTCATCGAATCCAGGAGGCGGATCCAACCAATATTAGTTTGACTTTTCATGGTAAATGACGTCGTGGCGCTTTGGTCAATGATCTCACACAATCTATGGTCACCTGACGTTCAATGCAAATCTCAGTCAGATGTGCCTGTTACACTGTTAAACTACTTCTCTCATAAAAGATATAGACTATCAATATTAATGACACCCTTTTATTGAATATACCTCATAATTTTTAAATAATACATGCAGGTGTAAAATTACTGACTGATAACCAGATAGTCTAGTGAATGGTAGTTCGGCTCACCTGTGTCCCCGTTTCCCTGCTTGACCACAGAACAAAAATCTTTAATGAACATAGAGATTTTTTCTGGGTTACATCTTCTTTTTATTCTCGAGTACAACGTTTCAGGGCTTGTTCTGGCCCCATCATCAGGTAAAACTGAACAGTAACTGTTAACTCTGGCCGTGACGTCACAATGCTTATGACGTCACAATGCTATGACGACGCAATACATGTGGTGGTCAATAGATACAGATGATAAAGTTAGAATCTTTAAGTTGATATCCATAAAAAGACTGCCAATATTGTACTTCGTAACTTCTAAAATGCCACACATAGAAATAGTATATATAGCTAGAATTGGTGATTGTTGATCAGACAGTCTAGTGATATACACATTGTTAACACCTTCGGGTATGATGATGTAGCAACCATAAACTGTCCGAGTCCTGTGCTGGGATTTGAACCACGGACCTACTGATCGGAAGTCGGACACCTTGTCCACATGACCAAAGAGGTTAACCCCTTCAGCAAGCTGACAAGTACATAAGTCTTGAAAAGGACTCAAATTTTATGATCCCTCTTGAAAAGTAATAAGATTCATGACTTCGTTTCACTTGCTATTTGCTAATAACCCGTGTACAATATCTGTATGAAACATGATGAAACGAAGTCAGCGAAACTGTCCACTAAATCCATTAATTATTGTCCACTCAATACAAATTATTTAAAAATTAGAAAGAATTTACAGATCTTGTGAAACTCTTGTAACTTTTCAGTCATGAATAATACCATGAGATTCTTTCTTTGGCCTGGACACCTATATATTAACATGACAGGCAATGCCCTCATTTGATGAGATTGATGTTGTTGGACGTCTTCTACATCCTGTTAATAATAAAGATAACATCCTGAATATGTGAAACTGTATTCATATATCTCATGTAAATGAAATGCGGAAAACATGAGCTTATATGAATAACCATTATGAGTTATTAAACTCGTCTCTTACAAATAAAATAGTCATCTGTCAAATGGAGTTATACTGTGTATACCTTACTGTGTAAGGGACCAATCATAATTTATGGCTTGTGGGTGGGTTGATTTTAAGGGTGGGTCACCCATTTTGGTAGGGTGTACACATGTACTTTGGGGAGGAGAGAGAGAGAGAGAGAGAGAGAGAGAGAGAGAGACTGACTGAGTTTGGTTTTACGCCGCTTTTAGCAATATTCCAGCAACATCACAGTGGGGGACACTAGAAATGGGCTTCACGCATTGTGCCCATGTGGGGATTCGGCATGACGAGCCAACGCTTTAACCATTAGGCTACCCCACCGCCCCCAGAGAGAGAAAGAGCACTTTGGGACTTTAAAAAGAGGGCTGGGGTAATTGATTTTGTACATGACAGGGGGGAGGGGGTTCCACTTACTTTGTACATAAGTTTTTCGGTGTGTGTGTGTGTGTGTGTGTGTGTGCGTGCGGGCGTGCGTGGCGTGCGTGTGAGATTCACATTGTACATGCTTCTCCATAAAAATCATCATCACCCCACCTAGCCATAAATTATGAATGGTCCCTAAACTGATAAATCCTCGGGTAGTATTGAAGATGGGATCATTATGTCATAGTTAGAGTGGTGTGATACATTAAATTATTCTATTCAAAAGAAGTTCAAGAAAACACGATTTTTCGAATTGATGTAAGAGATATAGATTTTTTCTGTGATGAAAATACAGAGTCTTGTTGAAACTAGGAGACATTTATCGTGGACACATGCAATGGCGACCTCCGTCTACAGCCTCCGTGTTGCCCGTTATGAATGATGCACTGTCGGAGGCCAGGAAGGCGATGACGTTGGCAACTTCACGGACCTCTCCTACTCGACCTAAGGCATGTGTGCTCTTGCAGTGCTCAAGGAACTGGAAAACAAATAACATTCACTGGTTGCATTCATCAGAAACACTGAGTATAATCCTAGAAAATAATTGAAATATTCAGATAAGCAAACGGCTGGATAATTTTCTGTGGCACGGAAGTGATGAAACATTCAATAAAATCATCTCATCAAATCTAACTTTAAATACAGAACAATTTTATTAACAGTCAGACAGTGTTTAAAACTCCCAAAATCCAAGCCAAACAGCCCGACTGGTAACTTTAAAAAATTACCAGTCCAGATACAAACTTGCCTGTCCGGTTTTCAACAATAAACTGAAATTACACATGTTGTGATTGGTTATTGTAACATGAACTGTCCAATCGTAAGTAGTTGAACATAATTTTCATCATACCTTAAACACCTCAAACTGACGACAAGAGAACCTGTCTGATATTATGAAATACATACTGTTTGGGGTAAAAATATCTACCAGACCACCGGACAGGCTACTTTTGAAATTTGACCGTCTGAGATGAAAATAGACCGTTTCGGATGGTCGGGCAGGCGGGAATTTTAAACGCTGAGTCAGTTACAAATTCCTAGACAACAGGTGAGCTGAACATTAGGCAAAAGGTTCCTTCACTAGAAAACTATATTACCTCAATCCATACCATACGTTGTTATAGATACAACAACAGAATCACAAAGCAAATTTTTGGAATAACTCCATGGACGTGGATTTGTACAGACAGATCATAGCTGATTGGTTCTAAGATGACAGACCTCCTTCTACAGAGTCATACAGTATCAGACCCAGTCAAAGTACACTTAGGCTCAGTATTATTCGTTACACTACTATACTGACTCTAACAAGCTCTAGTAGACAGTCGCGTCAACTAAACTTTTGAACTGACCAATCAGAACACAGCTTACCAAATTGCGAAAGTTAACATTTGCACATTCTGTCTAAACTTTTACCTCGAAAACATTTGTACTCGAATGATTCCGAATGCTATTTTCCACACGATCGCTTGAGAGTGATACACAATTATTCACCACAGTGAGTAAACAGTTGCTGTTTGTCACTATTCAAGGATGTCATCTTGCGGAAATATAAGCTAATAGTAACTATGTCAGAAACACACAAGCATATATACTGCAGGTTAAATATCTGAATTTTATGCGTATTTTCTTTTGTTGATCATTGTCAATGACCGGGGGGGAAGACAAAATTTTGTAAGTTCCGCTAATCCTAAATTGTAGCTGTTGTCTGATTGGTTAAATCCGTCTCATGTTTGATTGGACGGTCATAGGTTGCTCAAAGGTTAGCTGACGTGACACTCTACTAGAGTGAGTGAGTTTAGTTTTACGCCACACTCAGCAATATTCCAGCTATATGGCAGCGGTCTGTAAATAATCGAGTCTGGACCAGACAATCCAGTGATCAACATGTTGCATGAGCATCAATCTGCACAATTGGGAACCGATGACATATGTCAACCAAGTCAGCGAGCCTGACCACCCGATCCAGTTAGTCGCCTCTTGCGACAAGCAAGATCAATATTCTAACCCGGACCTTCACGGGTAATGCTCTACTAGAGTTTGTTAGGGTAGCATAGCAGTGTAACGAATAACACTGAGCCTAAGTTTACTTCGACTGTATCAGAGCAAAATATTTAAATGATACTGAGACTTCACATGATGCATCAGCTGTGTTTGTAGCTTAATGCCGCACTCAGCAATATTCCAGGTATATGGAGTCATCAGCTGTGTTTGTAGCTTAATGCCGCATTCAGCAATATTCCAGGTACATGGAGTCATCAGCTGTGTTTGTAGCTTAATGCCGCACTCAGCAATATTCCACGTACATGGAGTCATCAGCTGTGTTTGTAGCTTAATGCCGCACTCAGCAATATTCCAGGTACATGGAGTCATCAGCTGTGTTTGTAGCTTAATGCCGCACTCAGCAATATTCCAGGTATATGGAGTCATCAGCTGTGTTTGTAGCTTAATGCCGCACTCAGCAATATTCCAGGTACATGGAGTCATCAGCTGTGTTTGTAGCTTAATGCCGCGACTCAGCAATATTCCAGGTACATGGAGTCATCAGCTGTGTTTGTAGCTTAATGCCGCACTCAGCAATATTCCAGGTATATGGAGTCATCAGCTGTGTTTGTAGCTTAATGCCGCGACTCAGCAATATTCCAGGTACATCGAGTCATCAGCTGTGTTTGTAGCTTAATGCCGCACTCAGCAATATTCCAGGTACATGGAGGCATCAGCTGTGTTTGTAGCTTAATGCCGATTCAGCAATATTCCAGGCACATGGAGTCATCAGCTGTGTTTGTAGCTTAATGCCGCACTCAGCAATATTCCAGGTACATGGAGTCATCAGCTGTGTTTGTAGCTTAATGCCGCACTCAGCAATATTCCAGGTACATGGAGTCATCAGCTGTGTTTGTAGCTTAATGCCGCACTCAGCAATATTCCAGGTATATGGAGTCATCAGCTGTGTTTGTAGCTTAATGCCGCACTCAGCAATATTCCAGGTACATGGAGTCATCAGCTGTGTTTGTAGCTTAATGCCACACTCAGCAATATTCCAGGTACATGGAGTCATCAGCTGTGTTTGTAGCTTAATGCCACACTCAGCAATATTCCAGGTATATGGAGTCATCAGCTGTGTTTGTAGCTTAATGCCGCACTCAGCAATATTCCAGGTATATGGAGTCATCAGCTGTGTCTGTAGCTTAATGCCACACTCAGCAATATTCCAGGTATATGGAGTCATCAGCTGTGTCTGTAGCTTAATGCCGCACTCAGCAATATTCCAGGTATATGGAGTCATCAGCTGTGTCTGTAGCTTAATGCCGCACTCAGCAATATTCCAGGTACATGGAGTCATCAGCTGTGAGGACAACTTACCTGTGCATACTTTTCTTCCGTCATACCTCCTCTCTTGTGGACCTCTGTCACAATCACACCCGGACTGTAACCAATGGGTCAGAGGATAACACTTACAATTTGTGATCAAATATGTTATAAAACAGAACAAGCATATTTTCATAGACTTTGTTCACAAAAACAATGTTTTCATGACATAAATATCTCTCACATGAGTTACTATGGAAATATTCCGACCCAGACTCCACCCTGGGCTGTTGATAATTCAGAGATTAATGCAGTGGTCTAAACTGAGCGCCCCCAGATGGTAATTTGGAAAAAATGGTTACTTTCTCACAAATAGGTTGTTTTGGGAGTTCAGAATTCCTTTAATTTGATAAATATTGTGAGATTGCAATTATATCAATGCAATTATGTAAAACTTAGCATTAAAACCTTTTTGTTGTTATATGTTCTGTTCTTAATCAAATACATCTCATTATTACACAGGCATGAAGTAAGTTGCTATTTAACATTATTGGGAATTTCTTAAATTCCAACTGCTGCAGACATGGTGACTAATACCAACCTCTAACTGAGCATGAGATGGTAATGGTGATTATTATAATCCTGAGTATTGTTATAATCCTGACTATTGTTATAATCCTGACTATTATTATAATCATGAGTATTGTTATTATCATGAGTATTGTTATAATCATGAGTATTGTTATAATCATGAGTATTGTTATAATCCTGACTATTGTTATAATCCTGACTATTGTTATAATGCTGAGTATTGTTATAATGCTGAGTATTGTTATAATCCTGAGTATTGTTATAATCCTGACTATTGTTATAATCCTGACTATTGTTATAATCCTGAGTATTGTTATAATCATGACTATTGTTATAATCATGACTATTGTTATTATGATGAGTATTGTTATAATCATGACTATTGTTATAATCATGACTATTGTTACAATCATGACTATTGTTATTATAATCAATGAGCTCAGGTCACAATCAATTGAAGTTAAGCAACGCTGAGAGCGGAGAGTCCTTGGAGTGGTGACCGTGTTTGGCAGCTTGACACCTGAGTGTTTCTAGGACTTCAGTCCTGCCCCACAACGAAGCATATGTGACGCATGTGGTCTCACCTTAGGCAAGTGAGTTTGTCCAAAATTGCCTCTGTCCACCCAGCAGTAAATTGGGTACCTGGTATGATACGATGGTAGTCTGAATTTGAACTTTGAGCGCCTGACAGGCGACCAGTTGTATTCTCCACAGGATGTTCTGTACTCGTTGATCAGGGTAATAAGTCAGCGCTTTAAGCATACAATGTGCATGGATAAATGTGCAATATTAATGAACTATTATATTTAATAAGAGACTTACTTTACGCAGTTAACTCTGACTTGTTTAGGAGCCAATTCTGTGAAAAAGAAGAAAATTTGCATGACACACACTTAACCCACATAATCAAATGACCAGACCCCAAACCCCCACAACTGAAGTAACCTCAATAGCAAATATTGATAAAAATTAGTCACTTGTCAATGTATATCTTGAATACTCACCCAGAGCCACACATCTTGTCATCTGGTCAATGGCTCTCTTAGACATGCAGTATGATAAGACACCTGGAAACTGAAATATGAACTTAGTGCACTGATTTCATGACTGACTGACTGAGTTTGGCTTTACGCCACTTTTAGCAATATTCCAGCAACATCACGGCGGGGGACACCACAAATGGGCTTCACACGTTGTACCCATGTGGGGATTCGAACCCGGGTCTTCGGCGTGACGAGCCAACGCTTTAACCACTGGACTACCCCACCGCCCCCCTGATTTCATGAATATCCATAATGAAATATTCATATTTTATTGAAGCAATTACAGACAGGGAATGACTTGGGCTGCAATTCCATAATGTTCTCACATAGTTGTCACATTCGCATTCATACAGTGCAACTGAAATGTGCTTCCTATAACCCTGTCTGGAGCTTTGTAGCAGTTGTTCATGACTGACATTGTTGATCCCAAATCAGCAAAACATTTTAACAACATTAACACTTTCAGTGATGCTATCAAAAAGAGAAATACAAAGACAATGTTTAAAAAATTCCAGCAAATTTTGATTCTGCAAAAACAACAAAACAAAAACTAAAAGGATATACTACCAACTCTTTCAGACAGCAATATTCCAGCTATATGGAGGCAGTCTGTGAATAATCAAGTCTGGATCAGACAATCCAGTGATCAACAAGAGCATCAATCTAGGCAACTGGGATACGATGACATCTTAGACTTAATATAAATCAGACATATCTATTTAAGGCCAGACCAATTTTATTTCTTGTTTTACGGATCTGCCTGTTGTATTTTTTCAAGAATAAGAAAACAAATAAAAAGGAATTATCCCTGCTCAACCAATAAAATTCTAATGTTTTTATTGGCCAAAAATGTAAACATACAAGAAATTTTGTTTTTACATTGTTATTTGCCCCATATACACTTCATAAATTGCCAAAAGTACCATACTTTGAGTATTTTGAAAGAATATTACTTTGACTGGTGACATAAATTTATTTTTTTTCCCTCCTGCCTTTAGGTTTTCTGAGGACAAAAATCCGTAAAACAAGAAATAAAATTGGTCTGGCCTAAACCTGAAATAAAATAACATACTGCTCGGAGCCCTGTGACGCTGGAGACGTTGACGATGTTGCCTTTCGTCTTCACCAGGTGAGGCACACACAGCATTGTTAAGTGGTAGATGGACCTGAAACAACGATGAGGGAGTGTCTTGAGTCACTGGTCGTCACAGTGTGGTACTGAATGTATATAGCTTTCATGATACATTTCCCTTATATGTCCCTGCTACTGACCAGTCATATTTCACCTCTCACATCCATAGCATTTGCTTCAAAGAAATGGCAGAGCCCAGTCAAAAAGACTGTGTGATAGATAATCAAGATCTCATTTGCAACAAAACCAGTCTTTTTTCAAAACATGAAAAGACTTGGAAAATGTCTGCCTATGTCCAGTTATCGGTTCACATGCTCTGCATATCCTGCATGTGAACGAACCCTGCAGACACCATTATGCAACCTAGTTATTAGTCTACCTTGCACCAGGCGCAAGTCAGTGTTTGAGTGGGTAAATTCTGAATAAAACATCTAAATAATTCAATGGCATATTTCTGATATTACATATTGCAATAAAAACAGTGCAACTGGAATTTGACTGATGCAACTAGGTTTTTATCGTAGGTTGCACCTGGTGCAAGTGGGTTAATATGGCTTAAATCAAGCCCTGGCACACAGTTCATTATTACCCCGGATAACCCTAGCTGCCCGTGAAGCACTAGAAGGTTATAGTTACATGACTATGCACAGAATCATTATCCCAGCTGAAATATAACTCTGTATAACTCCAGCCTAGTTTGGCAAGGGTGGAAACTAGACTTGTATAGTCAGTGAACTATCTTGCCTTAGAAAGATTGGAATAGGCAGACATGTTAGGCTTGACATCCATTGAAAAAAGTCAGAAACCTATCTTGCTGGAAGGGAAAGTAGAATACTGTCACGATACTACTGCAAGACTTGTTTTAACTACTTGTACAACATTTCTATTACAATAAAATACATGTATTTAACAGTCTCACCTTACATTGATGTTGAAAGTTTTGTCAAATTGTTCTAAACTTGTGGTTTCTATACTACCAGGTTCCAGGATTCCAGCACTGTTGACCTATATGAAAGAAAAATATGAAGGATGTTATTGGACATCATGATGAGTGACAAAACAAGCTTGGCCCAATACGCTGCTGAAGTCGCACCGGGTCACTTAATGAAAGCAACATGCCATGGTGCATAATGCACACTGTATACAGCTGTAATAAATCTGGAAAGTTTCATCAATATTATTGATATCATAGCATTTAAATATTGCTAACATATCTATTGTGTGTCTCCTGACTACAGCCAAATCTCCAGGACTCATGTGAGCACTCGGTATCCAGATATCTGAATCTCCTACCAGTTACCTCCCCTACTAAGGCGAGAAAAAGAAAGCATTGAATTAATCGAGCATTTTACGCAGAAGAAAATTACACTCCATAACTTCAGAAAATTCTGATAAATGAATTGTTGAATAAACTTGGTGCAAAAAAATATGAAATACTGGATAATACATCCCACTTGACATGATGACTGATAATTTTATACTGTGCTACCTGTCCTGCCTGGTATTGTTTGATGTGAAAGGATCGATATTATGAGCATAATTTCTTGTAAAGAAAGCCAGAAATAGCAATCATTTGTACACGTTTCAGCTAAATCTACTGATGATTCAGTTGAAAAATACCAAATGAATTTGGATCCAATGGTTTGGTTCCACGATTTAACCATTTAGTAACCACTAATAGCCATTCCAGAAAATGGGCCCATGACACACCTGCCCTCAGTTACGTGGGCACTTACTCTATTTTTACTTACAATACAGGTAATGTCAACAATCTGAACAAGAGAAACCAAATAAACATCTGCTAACACATTTATTTAACAATTTACATTCAAAATGAATTTGGAAAAAAGAAACAACTAAATAATACACTTTGAATAACAGCCAATCTCAGTGTTCATTAACGGTAACCGGACAAAATCCACCCGAAAATTGCCCCCCCGGACAAAATCCACCTCTTCTTAACAGAAAAATGGACAAAATTGCTGTAGTTAAAAGTTTTAGTGAGTCCTGATCTTTGATCAAGATGTTTTTCTCAAGCATTGTTTAGATAGCATTTACGTTTTCCTAATTGGCTGTTGTTCCTAGCTGTGATGCATGAATGATTCATAAGGAATAATAACAAGAAATATGATGTTTCATTATGTGTGAAATATATGCTATTGTCATATTTATATATGCATTGATGCACAAATAATTCATAAATGTGAAATGTGAAAATGTGCTATTGTCATATTTATATATGCAAAATGTGCTTACATATGTATTTTGGTTGTTTTTGTAATCGATTATGAATGACTGATATGAATCAAATTAATTTGACTAAACATGTCATTAGTTTTTTTTTCTTAGGGTGAAATTTATTAGGGGTGGATTTTGTCCGGGTGGATTTTGTCCTAGGTTGCAATTTTGGGGTGGATTTTGTCCGGGTGGATTTTGTCCTGGATTCTTCATTAACATCTCAACGGAACACTTCAACATTGTATTTTTTAGTCCAGCCAATACTGTAAATCCCAGCTGTTTTGAAAAACTTACTGAAACACAGCTGGACACTTCAACAATGAGCAGTGTTCTTTACATTATCATCAGGTCTTGACAGTGACTTATTTTGTAAGATTGTTTTCAGGCGGCATACATTTCGAACAGCAGTGTTTACTCACACTAGAGAGATGCTGGTTGTGTCCCACAGGCATTGCAAATACTGAGATGATGGCTTGTGTACAAGATAAAGTTGCCTTTCAATGAGCTAGTGGCAACTTATATAATTGTTCCCGTAATAATTGAGAAAACAAGGAATGTTCTTAAGCGTGGGAAAATCCACTAAGCGAGGATACTCAAAACTAATTTGGCCTTTGTCTACAAAAATATATATATTGCAGCACAACACTTTAGGTAAACAGAGGCCAAATCAGTTTGGAGTTCTGCATGAGTTGACAAGTGAAAACAAACATGATCCGCACATACGAGTACAGAGCACCATACAACATTATAGTGAGGTGAGGTGAGGTGAGGTGAGGTGAGGTGAGGTGAGGTGAGGTGAGGTGAAATTGGGTTTTACGTCGTGCTTGAGAATATTTCGCTAATATGACGACGTGCATGCGTGTGTATGTGTATGTGTGGCTGCTTGTACTAGCCCAGACTTAAGCTGGTTTTATAGTGCTAGCTCACTGAGATACCATGCCGCAGTGAAGCATGAATACCCCACTCAGACACATTATACTGACTCCGAGCCGACCAGTCCTTGTTGTACCCATTAATGCTGAGCGCCAGGCAGGGACTAACAAGTACCATATTTTAAAGTCTTTTGGTATAACGCGTTCGGGGATCGAACCCGCGACCTTCCGCTCTCCGGGCGGACGCTCTAACCACTACACCACGGAGGCGGTTCACAACATTATAGTGCATGAATGGCACATGGGTGTGGCTGTGGAATGAAAACTGCATTTATGTAAAACGCAAATATTATGGATGACAACTTCTTCTTGATTGTATGTCACAACGTTTCTGGGCTATATATAAATGATATGGAGTGACTGCAATAAGTAACTGTAATTTAAATGTTCCTGACCAGAATGTCCAGCCTGCCTGTGGCTGCGATGGCTTCCTCCACAATACGCTTCGTGTCCTCTTCCTTTGACAGGTCACCAGTCAGGAGGACGGGCTGTGGAGGACATGGAACTTCATGAGACAAGACAACGTATACAAACAAAAATGTCTTGTTGAGTGAGTGAGTGAGTGAGTGAGTGAGTGAGGGAGCAACAGAGAGAGCGAGATGGCTTCCCCAATGCACCCTAAAGGAATAGAGAACGTTTGGTCTTCTTATGCTATCATATAATAGAAGTGACATCGGTTGTATCACTAGGCTACTCTTCTGTGGAACACATCAAACGCAGGACTCGAGTCCAACTGAATGGACTCCAGGACTCGCAGGGGAGATAACTCTAAACGTTTCACGCAATCAAGATGGATGATCATGAGAAAAAAATGCCTGGATGCATTTAATGGTGATTTAGTGGCCCAATAACCGAAATGCTGTCTTATGGCATACGGGTTTGCATTCATATTTTCATTTCAATAAGTTGTGTTATTCACTTGTTGTTTCATGATAAAGTTATGTCACTTTTAATGGCAATTTCTAAAAGCAAAAATGAAAGAAATGGTAGTATGATATCTGTCGTGTTTCAATAATAAGCTATGTTCTTTACAACTTGGCCTTGTGTTCTTGCTTTCTTGCATTAATTTCATTAAACAAACAATTTGATACAATTATTCTTCACTCTTGTTGTTCAACTTGTTTTCTACATATATATTCAGTCGTTCTTATCCGGTGTATTTCAGTGTTACATAATGAACAATCAACACATACATACACATTCAAAATAGCATTCACACTTAGAGACCTAAATCCTGAAATAGTTAAAAGTTTTAATCACAATAAATACCATTGACGTGATCTGCGTCTACAGTTTCGGAAGAAGAAATTCAGTGTAGTGTTACTCAATTAATGCTTAGTCTTTAGTTTGAAACCAAAACGTTTTCATTATAAGAAATCTCAATTAAACATCAATCCTGTTTTACATATTTTATTCTTTAAGTTCCATAGTCGACCCATCTTTACAAGATAACCAAACAGCACCAATCAATGAATGCTTTGTCTAAATATCTTCCAGCTTGTGCACATGTTTTGCCGCAATTTAACCATTAAAATCATCATGATTATTATTGGATATTTATATAGCGCACATATTCCCGCACTAGTGCATGCTCAAGGCGCTGGTATTTTTCCCCTCAATCATTGGAGGTCAATCTCAACGGGACATCTTATTGTCTCAACTCCCTGGGGATCATGCAACTCTTGTTGCCACAAGGCACATCGAGTTATTCCCATCCTTATGAGGTAACCATGATTAAGGTTAATTGATTATGTGACTTATCGTCTAGGTGAATGTTTAAAAGTTGCTAATATGTCATAACTGCAACGACATATTAATATTAGATAATCTTGAAAGCACAGTCAAAGTTAAAACCAAAAGAAAAGAGAAGTACATTGATTGGTTTCTTTTCCCGGGACACAACCTATCATGTTACAGCATTTACATGCGTAATAAGGTATCACCGGCCCAACTCATGAATATTAATCACATAATTGATCCTGTACAACTGGGTCACAGTGACACTTACGTTGCCTTCACATTCTGTTTGCAATAATAAAAAGGTAATAGATACTTCCATTAACATTGAATATCAATTGCTTTATTCAGGAACGTTTAGATTCACATATAAATGCTGCATTATTCATAGATTGGAAGTTCGAACAGCCACATGTATGCTTGGTTTTAGATAAGCATCAAAATTGTCGGGTACTCGGGTCCGAGTCGGGGTCTGACTCCTCAAGTACTCGAGTCCCAAATTTTGGACTCGTGAGAGACCTAGTTGTGATATGCACATATTTGGATTCCTGTTTACCTTGTACCGTATATCATACACAGTTGTTCATGGGTAATGACCTTCACCTTATACTTCTAAGCAGTTCATAACGCCACCCCGCTTCAAACCCGTCTAATTCTAGGCACAAAAAACTTGCTTACATGCAATATGTTATACACTGAAGATGAATTTATTTGTGAATTTCAAAGTGCCAATGACCTTCACCGCATACTTGGATACCTTGTTACCTTATATATCTTAAACACTGCATATGACAACGCCTATCCCAACGTGTCCGTGACCTTTACCTTATACTTGGATACCTTGTTACCTTATATATCTTAAACACTGCATATGAAAACGCCTATCCCAACGTGTCCGTGACCTTTACCTTATACTTGGATACCTTGTTACCTTATATATCTTAAACACTGCATATGAAAATGCCTATCCCAACGTGTCCGTGACCTTCACCGCATACTTGGATACCTTGTTACCTTATATATCTTAAACACTGCATATGAAAACGCCTATCCCAACGTGTCCGTGACCTTCACCGCATACTTGGATACCTTGTTACCTTATATATCTTAAACACTGCATATGAAACGCCTATCCCAATGTGTCCGTGACCTTTACCTTATACTTGGATACCTTGTTACCTTATATATCTTAAACACTGCATATGAAAACGCCTATCCCAACGTGTCCGTGACCTTCACCTTGTACTTGTCCTGGGTACACTGCTCTGCTGTCTTCTCCAGGTTCTCCTCATTCCTCCCTGTGATGATGACACGGGCTCCCAGCTGAGAAAACAATATGGCTGTGCCGGCACCAATACCTGAACTGGCACCTGAAAATACACGTTTCTTCATTGCTTAAAAACATTCTGTGACAGGAACTAAATCTTAACATAAATGACGTCCACGTTATCACCCTAGTGACACAGATACAGCCAGTTTGGTTTGTGTTGGAAACCTCAGAATCATATTTACCCCGATGTTCATGTACCCTACGGACGGTGGGGTAGCCTAGTGGTTAAAGCGTTGGCTCGTCACACCTAAGACTCGAGTTCGAATCCCCACATGGGTACAATGTGTGAAGCCCATTTCTGGTGTCCCCCGCCGTGATGTTGCTGGAATATTGCTAAATTCAGTCAGTCAGTCATGTACCCTACATTAATCTCAACACAAAACAGTTTTGTTGCAAACTGGTTGGGGTGGCTATCAGTTCAAATTGATCACCTGGGTGCCTAAACCCCAGCTATTCTACCCAGTAACTCAGCAGAAGGTCTCAAAGTTTGGAACAAATTGTCAGTTGTTTCACCAGATCAAAAACTACTGAGAACTTTTAAGATACTCACAAAACATTATACATGTAATTATGCATTTAGTGAAATTAAATGAAGCTTTATTTTATTCAAGAGTTTTGTACAAAATGACAGATAGGCTGTTGTTTCACCAGAACAAAATCTGCTGAGAATAAAATAGAAACATGCATAAAACATTCTGATCATGCACAGAGTGAATGAATTAAGCAAAACATTTTAGACACATGCATAAAATATTCTGATCATGCATAGAATGAAGCTGAAAGAAGCTATTTTCTTATAGATACATGTACATGAATAAAACATTGTGATCATCCATAGAGTAAAGTTGAATGAAGCCTTATTCTTTTAGATGCATGCAAAAACATTCTGATTATTCATAGAGTGAGGTTGAAATAAGCTTTAATCTTTTTCAACCCTAAAAGCCTGAAATGTTGTGTAACTGTTGAGTATTTGTCGTTAAACTAATCACCGGTGTTGGCAGAATACCCAACCTGAACAACCAAGTTGCTAGTCCCTCTTCCAAAATGATATCGTGACAGCTATGGCCAGACTGTGCCAACTTAGGGCAACTTACACAAATGTGATTGACCTCAGTTGCTGGAATACAGCAGTTCCAGAATGTAGAAATATTCACCAACTTCTAAATGCCTCTCAAGAATTGCAGTTCCAGAATGATATCAGTATCTATGATCAGTTTCACCACAAAATCCCAACACTGCCTTGATGCGGTCCTATATATTATTATTATTATTATTTATAGGATATTTATATAGCGCACATATCCAGGCAACTAGTGCATGCTCAAGGTGCTGGTATTTTCCTCTCGATCATTGGATGTCAATCTCAACGTACATCGTATTATCAATCTCAACTCCCTGGGGAGTATACAGCTCTTGCAGCCACTATGCGCTTAGGGTTATTGTGGCTTTCTCATTCTAATGAGGTACCCATTCACAGCTGGGTGGACTGGGACACATATATACCAGGCAGGGTCACGTCTTGAATGTGTAGTACTGCATCACTGCTCTCGGCTATAAACAAACACTTCCTAACAACTAAATGTTTTTTAATAAAGTTTGTTTTCTTTCACATGGCAGCAAAAATTGATTTTTCCAAGATTTTGAGACACCTCAGAGGTCAAAGATCATATTTATGAAATAGCTGCCACAAATACTTTGCTATAACATCAAAACATTATAACCACATGTAGGGCTGTTGAAAGAAATAGGTCTCCCTTTGCTGCCCCAAGTGGTACCAATCACCCTAATTTTCAAGGGATCAAGGACTACTAGTATCCACTAACACGAAAATAATCTACTACATAGGCAATTTAAGCTGTTTTCCACATCGTATCAGAATTACTATTGTTATTTCTACAAACGCCACTTTACCAAACAGAAGAATCGAGAAATGCACCGAGGAATAACGATGAAAAGATGACATACGAGAAGATTAATTATTTGTTGGTTCATGCTGAGACCATCGGTATATGGTCTCTGGTTCATGGCATTAAGCGCATCAATTGTTATAATTCTTAACTTTACTTAATCTTACGCACCTGTCACCAGGGCAACCTTGTCATCAAGCCTTCCAATGGAAGCCATCTTTCCAGTCAATGTAACAATCTACTGACAACGTGCTGAGGACGAACTCCAGTGTTTACTTGACAATTCCAAGCAGAAGGCTTGCACACCAGCTGATCAGGAACACCTGTGGACACTTTGTTCAAGGGAGGTAACTCCCACTACGTCAGTCTGGTTCCCCGTGTGTGATGCGCTGGCGCTTCACTGACTCGCGCAATGATTGCTCAATGGCAAACCCATTCATATTCCTAGCGCGTGTATATGCTTAGTAGATAACATAAATGCATATCCCTTCACACAATTTACATAACCGGGATCAAACAAGCATCTTAGTGCGCTTTATAACCCGTTCCAAATAACAGATCTCTCAGTTAACGCATCATATTATATGCCGTCCGGTAATTCCGCGCACCTAAGCACATCGATCGCAACACGGCAACTAACATCTCTTATTAATTGTGGTTTACGTGACTAAACATGCTGGTATGCATCATATTTACCTAGAAATATAAGACGACTATAAGATTCTAACGTTGCATTATGCCATACAGTTGAGGGCGGTGGGGTAGCATAGTGGTTAAAGCGTTGGCTCGTCCCGCCGAAGACCCGGGTTTGATTCCCCACATGGGCACAATGTGTGAAGCCCATTTCTGGTATCCCCCGCCGTGATATTGCTGGAATATTGCTAAAAGCGGCGTAAAACTAAACTCAGTCAGCAACACAGTTGACCTTACCGGCGTTTTGACGACATCGCTTGCTGTCCGGTAATTCTGTGCAGCAACTGATGCGCATAACATCCAGCAGGAGATCCGAAGTATGGAAGCGTATTAGGGCCAGATTATTTTCAAAAATCACTTCATCAATGTAAGGAAGAGTGTTTCATATTAAATCCAATTATGAATAACGAAGAAAAAGGTTAAAAAGTCTGAAGAAAACGAAGTTTTCATAAAACCGTCAATTTATCTGTCAATTACTGTTATTTACTTACCTTCAGTGATTAAAAGCCAGTCCCTTGTAGAAATACATGTATCCCGATTTCAAGCGTAAATGGGGGCGGTGGGGTAGCCTAGTGGTTAAAGCGTTGGCTCGTCACGCCGAAGGCCCGGGTTCGATTCCCCACATGGGCATAATGTGTTAAGCCCATTTCTGGTGTCCCCCGCCGTGATATTGCTGGAAAATTGCTAAAAGCGGCGTAAAACTAAACTCAGTCAGTCAAGCGTAAATGAGACGAACGCTTTAACCACTAGTCTAACCACTAGGCTTCGCTAAGCCCGCGGTGGAAATGATAATGTTGAAATAAGTGAGGTGAGGTGAGGTGAAATTGGGTTTAACGTCGTGCTTGAGAATATTTCGCTCATATGACGACGTGCATTCGTGTGTATGTGTATGTGCGGCTGCTTGTACTAGCCCAGACTTAAGCTGGTTTTATAGTGCTATCTCACTGAGATACCATGCCGCAGTGAAGCATGAATACCCCACTCAGACACAGTATACTGACTCCGAGCCGACCAGTCCTTGTTGTACCCATTAATGCCGAGCGCCAGGCAGGGACCAACAAGTACCATATTTTAACGTCTTTTGGTATGACGCGTTCGGGGATCGAACCCGCGACCTTCCGCTCTCCGGGCGGACGCTCTAACCACTACACCACGGAGGCGGTTTTGAAATAAGTCATTGTTGGAGCAAAATAATATGCCAAGAGTAGAGAAAAACAGCTAGGTATCTAAATTTATTTTAAAACGAAACACATTCCAGTGAGATTAGAATGCAAATCCGAGGTAAAAAAATTATGTCTGTCGTGTATATACACCTTCACGCCGAAGACCTGGGTCTAGATTTTCAAAGCTCTCATAGCGCTAAGATAGTCGTAAGTGCCATACAGTAACTTACGACTATCTTAGCGCTAAGAGAGCTTCGTAAATCTAGGCCCTGGGTTCGATTCCACACATGGGTAAAATATGTGAAGCCCATTTCTGGTGTCCCCCGCCATGATATTGCTGGAATATATTGTATTGCTAAAAGCGGCGTAAAACTTTACTCATTCACTCGTTTGCATTTACATTTTAATCTCACTGTAATGTGTTTCGTTGGAAAATGAAAACTGTTATCCTCTAGTCTTGATGTTTTATATTACATCAATATTACATCAATAATGACTTATTTTGACATTTGAGTGACAATGACATCTCGTGATAAAGCATACCAAATACATGTTTCTATGCATTTCATAGATCTATCTGATATTTTGTACACGGGTTTTGATCGTGACCGGGACTCACATACAAGCGAGCAGTAAGCAGGTATTATTCTGGAAGGGATAGTTAAAATTAGTAACATAATAAATCTAAATGCCTCTCAAGAATTTCATAATTAATCCCCTTAAATTAACACGTGTTACAATAAAAGAACAATTGGGTACCAGTGAACATCCGGGTTAGAATAAGCCTTCAGCAACAGATGCTTGTCGTAATTTTTAAGCAACTAACGGCATCGGGTGGTCAGACTCGCTGACTGGGTTGACACATGTCATCGTATCTCAATTACGTAGATCGATGCTCATGATGTTGATCACTGGATTGTCTGGTCCTGACTAGATTAATTACAGACCGCCGCCATATAGCTGGAATATTGCTGAGTGCGGCGTTAAACAACAAACAAACGATCAATAGTTGACATTCTTCGTTATATTTGGCTGCATATCGTTTGGTCACCTTTGAATACACATATCGAAAATATATAATATGGTATTAAAGAAGTCTTCTCACTTCTAATAAAATGTACAGGAGAAATATTGCTCATATATAAATTTTAGTATAGATAGAAAAGATTGTATAGGCGACCGCCTCCGTGGTGTAGTGGTTAGAGCGTCCGCCCGGAGTGCGGAAGGTCGCGGGTTCGATCCCCGACCGCGTCATACCAAAAGACGTTAAAATATGGTACTTGTTGGTCCCTGCCTGGCGCTCAGCATTAATGGGTACAACAAGGACTGGTCGGCTCGGAGTCAGTATAATGTGTCTGAGTGGGGTATTCATGCTTCACTGCGGCATGGTATATCTCAGTGGGCTAGCACTATAAAACCAGCTTAAGTCTGGGCTAGTACAAGCAGCCGCACATACACATACACACGCATGCACGTCGTCATATGAGCGAAATATTCTCAAGCACGACGTTAAACCCAATTCCACCACCACCACCTCGAGGTCTGACGTTATGCACCTACCCGTTTGCAAATAATAATGTAAATCAGTCTACCTACCTACCGAGACCCAACCAACCACCTACCTAGCCTAATGGCTCCTAACGCTAAAGACCCGGGTTCGATTCACCACAAGTACAATGTGTGGAGCCCATTTCTGGTGGTGGTAAAACCGTACTCACTCTGTGGACAATGCTATTTCCGAGATTACTTGTGAGCATGGAAATATTTTAATCCTATTTGTAACGCACACTGATGTGTAAATGACACGTACCACGAGAGAAAATATTTAGAGTTCCCTATAATGTACATTATATTCAACTACACGTCTCCTTTTCCGTTATGTTTGGTACATTAGACACACTGCAAAAGTAAAACAATATAAGCTATGGGTTCCGTTTCTTGCGAACTATTATCTTTATTGGTTTGTTTGTTGTTGAAGGACGCGCTCAGCAATATTCTAGCTCTATGATGATGTTTTGCTATATTGGTGTACAATCTCTCTCCCAAATCTAACTTTCCGAAGAACAATATCTTGACAAGTAAAAGACGTCTAAACTCGACGTCTTAATCACAAAATAAAGATGTAAAATATGGCTTTTGTCCCGAAATGTAACTTTCGTGTACGGCCTCAAAACAGTTCACCCACACACATATCCCATATATACAGAACCCTACAAACGTGCAGCACACTCTATGCCTACCACTGACTGACTGACTGACTGAGTTGGTTTTACGCCCTTTTAGCAATATTCCAGCAACATCACGGCGGGGGACACCAGAAATGGGCTTCACACATTGAACCCATGTGGGGATTCCGGGTCTTCAGCGTGACGAGCCAACTCTATGCCTACCAAATTCCAGCCAGGGGCGGATACAGCTTTATGAGAAAGGGGGTGCACACTTCATTTTCACCCGTTTTCATGGGTCATTTAATAAACTTTCAGGACAAAAGGGGGGTGCGCACCCCTGCATCCGCCTACGCCAGTCATTCTTTTTGAGCTCTGAACTGACTAAACCAGAGATAGGAGAAAGTGTATAATTGGAACTTACGTTTTAAAACTTATTCCATGTCACATACTGCATGGCTGTAGGAGCAGATACAACAGTGAGCGAGTGAGCCTTTAGGTTTACGCCCCTTTTAACAATATTCTAGCAATATCATGGCGGGGGGACACCAGAAATGGGCTTCACGCATTGTACCCATGTGTGGAATCGAACCGGTCTTCAAGGTGACAAGCGAATGCTTTAACCTCTAGGCTACACCAACGCCCCTGCACACAGTAAGAACCATCACATGTACACCAGGAGGCCCACATTGAATTCGCTCAATCAAAAAAGAGGTGGATAAATCGCACGGACAAGTGAGTGAGTGAGTTAGTTTTGGTTTCACATTGCTTTTATAGCAAAAAGCAATATTACAGCCGGGACATCAGAAATGAGTGAGTTTAGTTTTACACTGCTGTTAGCAATTTTCATCAGAAATGGGCTTCACACATTGTACCCAAGTGGGGAATCAAACCCATGTCTTAAGTGTGACATGCTTCGACAACTAAACTACCCCAAGGTGCCTCTAAGAGGACTAACTGCATCCAGGTAAGTTGAAGTACTTGTTTTAATCACTCCTTCATAGACTGAACTAGGAAAATACACACAACAGAAAAAAACAGAAAATATTATGTACAATTTATTACACAATCTATACAAAATCATATTTTCACTAATTTTTTTACATTAGATCAAAATTATTAGTCACACTGCATTGTTTATTCAGGTATTTCCACACAAAAATAAAAAAATGAAATAAATATTCATACAAGATGAGAAGGTCACAGTGGCATATCGTTAATCCAAATGTGCTCATTTAAGTCTCAGGGGCTGGTATAAAAGACAATAAACTGGACTGGATCTTTGTAACCTGTATTGCACATGGATTCACACTTAAAACAAGAGACTGTTTCAAAGATTGTCAGGCAGAATCTTTCCAGGCATCAATGCCTCCTTGATTTTCCTGTTTATCATGCCTCCATTTTATTGGGAACAGTAAAATCAATCCACTCTTTTGTCTCCAGGGCTGTTTTGAGTTCGGACAATAAAACCGATCCAATCGAATAACCATTTTCTTCATTTTTTAAACAAGTGGTAATACTACTCGTATTGTCCTCAGATCAACTGGGAATAACTGACTGCATGAGCACTTCGATATCATAATATTCGTCAATAAGTCTTCCGAAACAATTACTGCATCAAGGGTTGGCTTGTATGAAGTCGTAATTATTTAAACTCCTTTTCCCAAGTTTCTTTGGTTGTTGAATTCAAGGTTATGCACCTTCAAGGTTAGAGGCCTAAATACACTGAACATTGAGCAAGCCAATCCCTTTGCTATTCACACATATATTTCTGTTTGAAAAAGAGAATAAAACATATTGTCTCAACAACAGCAAGAAATTGGCTCTTGCAAATAATTTAGACAAACGATAGCTTCAGGCTCATTGCACATTCTAGGTATTTAAACGAACATGAACAGTATAGCCATTTTTCTTCAAAATGATTCAGATAATTCAAGAACACATCTAAATATCCAAAACAACCTTCATCACAGTGGCCATTTGTCTGGCCACTTTGTATCACATATTAATTAATCACATATAGTAACCGGTGGTATCTTCACAATACAGATCCATGTAACCAAACATAGCTGAAGGTCCCTAACTAATACCTGGCCAGTTAACTGTCATCAGCAAACATGTCACCCAGGGCTCCAGATAAGGGTCGTATCGGCGTATGTACGGAAGGACATGTTTTGGAAAAAGTAGCAGATACGCACCACTGCAATGGTGTACGGTCTTAGAATCATTTACAGTCGTATTTATCCGAAAAAAGTATTGTTTTATTTTCATTGACCTGTTTACACAAGATTGGCAATGTTGTGGTGCATACATGAAAAGAAACTTCAGTACTCTAAATGTACTCTTAAAGTTTTCCAGTACTCTTATATTGAAAAAATAAGGAGTACATACTCCTGATGTTGAAAAATTATCTGGAGCCCTGTCACTGCATACAATTTGATTTTTGTGTGTGCACAATGTACAAAATTCTCATTTTGAAAATCTGATCCTTGCATTCTAAATACGTTTTCAATTATGTCATCTGTACATCCATCACACTGACAAACGGGTCGTTAATCTCGCTCTCGTGGACCGAGAGTAACCATCTTTCATGCTGTCACAGTAAATCTCATGTTTCCAATCTCAACTGAGCAAATCAATGTAATAGCAGTTTACTTATTTTGTTTATTTGTGACAAACTGAGTACCTATGTAAACTGCATGTTTTATGGGTAAAATGCACAGAATGAATAAAAACATCTCTTACTTGTGTCCTGCCAGTGACATACTAAAACAAAAGCATATAACAGATAACAGGATATGTAAATGTCATATACAGTGGGCACTCATTTGTCTCCATGCTACCATCTTGATTATAGACAGGACCAATGATCACACTATATGTACAAGTAGACAAATACCGTCTACACAGCAAGCAGCAATATTCCAGCTATATCACAGCTAACTAGAAGAGTGTTTGCAAGGACTTGCAAAAACAGAAGCAACCTCTCACCACCTTTTCTGAAAGGCCCAGAAATCTTAAGCCATTCAACAAGCTTCTGAGTACAACCTCATGAGGAACTAGATTCCAGCCAAATCAGTTCGAGTCTTTAGTCATCATTTATTTTTAGGGAAACCCATCCCAATGAGAACAATTTGAACCAGAAAGTCCTTTTTCTTCAGAACATTAAACAGTAAGTCATACCACTGTTTGTCGAATGATATCAGTTTGGGTTGGTGACAACACATGCCACATTTCCTATTCAGGAAAGCATATATATACTTTTGGTTTGGGAAACTTGTTTGTTGCAAGACAACTTAAAACAGAAAATGATATGCCACTCACAAACTTACTAAAAAAGTTGCATGCACTTGTGCTTTCATGACCTAACTTACATGTCTTCAGAATAAATGCGTCAGATACAGAATGTCTGGCTAAATAACATTTGATCATATGCTAGATTATTTGCAGCTGGAAACAGGGATATTAACTCCAGAGACCATGGTCTCTGCTAACTCTCAGTCCCACAGATATGACCATTCCAGTGACCTTTACCTTCAAAATACCTTGCTAATGACCTTGACCTTGACCTTAAACCTTTTCAGGACCCCTCCCTACAGACGACATATTTCTCTCGGACCTACAAAACCTGCTTCTTGAGTAATTTTTCAAATTAGCCATTCCTCAGTCAATCACCTTGCAGATGAACTGTGGAATTGATCTCATTATTCCAAACTCTAAAACACAAAAATACCATCCATTCGCATCATAATCGCATCATAATCTGAACTTTGTCACTCATACTGGAGTGATCTTTACCTGTCAATCAGTTCCCAAATTAGATAAAGGTTCAAAAGTTACTCATACTGAAATAATCTGTTTATTTCTTACTGGCTTAGATTAACGGCTTTCAGTGTCTCTCTTTCTCACATGTACAAAACCTTACAATGGACCAAGGCATAACAAGATATATTCTATCAAAATGAGCTTACAAGCAAATATACAAGAAATATACATGCCATATATGAGCTTAAGATGACCACTGGTGTGGATCTAAAAATACCTATCATTATCATCATCATCATGATGAGTTGTTTAATATACATAAAAGTTCTGACATTCCAAATACACACTACAAATTATTACATTTCACATATTTTAAACTTGATCTGTCATAGCTGAAAGCACATGTTCCATATTTGAGTTAAAGTTTACAAATAAACTAAAAATAAACTGTTCATGATTAATTACTACCCATACTTACAACAACAGCACTGTGACATACAACATCATGAAATGAGTGACAAACCTGAAATAAGCTTATTATAGCATAGGATGACATAACACACATCAAACCTACAACCATGCATGGAGTCATCTCCAGAGGGCGGTGGGGTAGCTTAGTGGTTAAAGTGTTGGCTTGTCACTCCGAAGACCCGGGTTCGATTCCCCACATGGGTACAATGTGTGAAGCCCATGTCTGGTGTCCCCCCGCAGTGATGTTTCTGGAATATTGCTAAAAGCGGCGTTAAGCCAAACTCACTCAGTCATCTCCTGATGTATACTGGTGAACAGGCCTACCCAAGTAACAATGAAACATTACATGGATGATCCTCATAATCAAAATACCAGTGCAAATTTGATAAGGACAAGTTCTCTTCCCCCAAAATGATGTATGACATGAAATCATTCAGTCATATGGACAGAATTATGTGGACTGGGTCTTGTTTGGGAAAACAAACAATTTTTTGGGCTTCTATTACGACCACTGTTACCCTTTTTTAAGAATACTGTATCAGTAAGTTGGTACATTTTGTTAAACAAAATGTGAATCCTAAATACTATTAACTCACGGTCACGGAAGAATATGGTTGTAAGGACTAAACATTTATAACATGGGGAATGTGGGGTGGGTGGTTGAGGGCATTGTGGGACTTGTCTCAGGACACTATCAGATTTTGCTGTCTTTCGCTGTCACTTAATCAAAACACCCCACTGGCCTAATAATCTCACCGAACCACCCCTCCCAAAATCAAATATCCAGTCCCTTCCACACTGTTGAGATCATAATGTCAAAAAAACCATTTGCAAGTATTGATTTAATCTGATGAGGTTGCTACATTCCATTCGAGAGCTGAGCATCATGGGTAGCAATACAGTGTTCAATGTATTTGTTATAATACAAATGAAGCTTGGTTCTCATTAATTGATCTGTGAATAAAATATCTCAGCAAAAACACTGCTTTTGACTTATGACTAGCAATGAATTGAGACACACAAAGAGAACACCTTTCAACAGTGAACTATAAAGATATTGCCTGTGATCCAATTCAACTGCTTGATCCCAAGTTTTCTTGAATTTCTGAAGGAACAATGATATTGTGATATTACACCTTCACAGTTGTACCCTGTATTGGAATTTACCAGAAATCTGTCCACAAAGTGGCTGTGATACCTACAAAATGTGGCATGAAACTATCACAGTGACATACATATTTCATTTTATCGTACTTTTCAAATTAAATGTAAGATATCTTAACAAACCTAACAAAACCTTAAAGCTATTGCCTGTGATCCAAACCCAAATTAACAAAAGCTGAAATCAAGGGCTTGATCCTTGGGTTTCTTGAAGTGCTGGAGGAATGACGATATTGTGATACTAGAACGTACCAGTTATACCACACATTGGGAAACTGTCTAAAAAGTGGTGATACCTCCAAAATGTGGCATGAAACTATCACATTGACTTTCACATTTCATTTTATCATATTTTTCTAATTAAGAAACATCATTAAACAAAGTATTGACAGATCAGTGTTCTCCTTGACAGAGATAAGTGTTTGTATTGGAAGAGATCACTGTTCTCATTGTTTGCATTAGAAGAGATCACTGTTCTCATTGACAGAGATAAGTGTTTCCAGAGATCACTGTTCTCATTGACAGAGATAAGTGTTTCCATTATCAGAGATCACTGTTCTCATTGATTGGAAGTGGGTTGATCAAACTTGCCCAACATTCACTGCTTGCAAATCAAATATATCATGGACTGATTACAAAAATATCACACAAATAAATATTACCATACTCTCATCTATCGGAAACAAAAGTCAGTATTGTCAAACTGAAGTGGAAGTTAAAAAGATGGTGTGTGAGTAATCTCAGTTTCATCTGCATCCATGTATGGACAATTTACTGGAAGAAAGTTTGAGATGTTGGGACTCTATGGACATGTTCTCATCAAAGTCCTTCTGGACTGTCCTCGGGTGGAACACTGTAGCGAACACCGTTAATCTGAAAGAACACATTACATATTACTAAAAGCACACAGTTATTGCTTGTCTCAAAACGTCTTCCATTATTAAAGAGTGAGTGTGAGTGTGGGGATTAATGCTGCTTTGAACAGGTGAGGTGAGGTTGGGTTTAAGCGTCGTGCTTGAGAATATTTCGCTAATATGACGACATGCATGCGTGTGTATGTGTATGTCGCGGCTGCTTGTACTAGCCCAGACTTAAGCTGGTTTTATAGTGCTAGCCCACTGAGATACCATGCGCGAGTGAAGCATGAATACCCCACTCAGACACATTATACTGACTCGAGTTTCGACCAGTCCTTGTTGTACACATTAATGCTGTATGACAGGCGAGGTCCAACAAGTATCATATTTTACGTCTTTTGGTATGACATGGTCGGGGATCTCCGCGACCTTCCGATGCTATAACACCACGGAGGCGGTTTGCTTTGAACAGAATACCACGCTCCAGTTATCTCATGTTGTGTCAGCATTTTACCTGCTATAGCAATATTCCAGCAATATCACGGTGAAGGACACCAGAAATGTGCTTCTCACATTGTAACCATGTGGGGAATTGAACCTGGGTCTTCAGTGTGACGAGCAGACACTTTAACTATTAGGCTACCCTACCACCCCAAGACCTAAAGTGATGCAGGCCTCAGACATGTACCAATTTATTGAAAGCTACGAGCACAGGAATGCTGCTGTCAATACAAACAATCATGTTTATGGATGGATGGATTACTTTCCACTAATCTCTATCCTGAATATATTGTAGTCTTGCAATATTGATGGAAATCCTGTGACTACAGTTTAAGATGAAGATTTATTGTTGACTATGATGTGACCACTACTACTGCACCTGAATATCATAGTCCATGACAAACGGTGGTACATCCAGTTGGTCAGGGTTCATCTTGGTGTACAGATACTGGACACCACGCAGGTTATGCACCTTTGGCTTGATGTCTGATGCCGTAAAAGTGGTGAAAAACCATGTTGCGAGCTGAAAAGCACATGTAAAGCACATGTAAAGTTATTAAATTCTCAAATGAAAACACTTTTCCACACAGGCATCAGTGGATGTCAATGACTGAGTAACTGTATTTACTGATGGAGCTACATCCAAACTGTGATGACTCGAGAAAAAACATCATACACATGGTAAATGTCTTTGTCTATTCAGAAATTTATGTTATCACTTCTCAAGAGGAAATTTGGGATAGTTTGTCACTATATTACCAATTTTGTGAGTGGCAAGAAAATCAGACATTTTTCTTGTGTAAGGTTTCACAACATTTGCAGCAATGTCAAGGTCAAGTACATGACACCGGACTACACCAGTTGTCAGTGTTTCTGTTATCTGGTATATACCAGACTTTGATCGGTATATACCAGACTTTGACCGGTACAAAGTGAGAATGTCCGGTAATTTCAAAGGCTGTCGGTCATCGTGTCCAGCAAATTCTAAAATCAATTTTCTAATTACCTCTATCAATTTTATTTCTCTTCGATAAAGATTACGTTTTCACAATGACATCGAGGTGTTGTCAAGTAGAAAATAGCAGTTTTGGAAAACCCCAGGCTAAAAAGAGCGGCACTGATGCATTGCGATACCCTCAACATTTCTGACTGGTTGTTCGGGTGCAAGGTCTCGTACACAATGAAAAGCATGATCACTTGACGGGTAAATTTTACAAAGAACTGGTATTTGAAATGCTAGCTGGTCACGACTCACTAGGGCTGCACAATATAACCGGTTTACCGGTATTTACCAATTCAGACATGAAAACGATACGTATTGCGATACGCTGACTGAAAACCGGTATTTTGACTTTCATTCCGAAAACTTCGTTACAGTCGGGAATTTTCGGATATTTCCTTGTTTCATTTGTGCCAAATATTATTTACATGTTTATTTTGTCATGATTAAAAGTTGTGATCAAAGCCTAATCCAGCATAGTGATTTTGTTGTGTTCATGCTTTTTAAAGCATTAACTCGTTATAAGTAGTTTTTTGTTTAAAAATACTTTTGCAATATATTGTGATACATATCACAATATATGCTTTAGCATCGCAATATATCGCAATATGAAAATTCTCTGCAATACCCTACCCTACCGGTCACAATGTCCAGCTATACAAAATGCCAGCGGAAACACTGGTTGTACCAGTGCATGAATTGAGCCTTAACATTTGCCCTGTGTATTGTAACACGTAATGGACCTTAACAGCTGCTGCCAGTTGTTACTATGGAAAGTTAACCCTTCATGTGAACTAAATCAGGCCTAAATCACTAGTTCACTAATGCTCACCTTAGACCACCAGGTGGGGTGTATCACATAGAAGGCTTTTAGGTTCTTCTTATATCTGTAACACAAAGTAAAACATTTGTCATGGTCACTCATGAAGATCCAGGTTAGAATCGGTCTTCAGTAACCTATGACCACCTCATTCAGTAGTGTTGCATCCAGGAATTGGGATTAAGGGGGACATCCCCCTTAACTGTTACAAAAGAGGGGGACCTGACACCAATTAGGGGGGTCAGCTTTTCTTTTACACTTTCTTGGGGTAAGAAAACAACATTACATATTGCTTTAAGGGAATGAACAAGAGAAGACAAGTAAAGACAGTAAATTGGCAATTAAACATCACTAGACAAAAGTGATACCATGACCAATGCCATGACCACCTCATCCAGGCACCAATACCATGACCACCTCCTCCAGGCACCAATTCCATGATCACCTCATCCAGGTACCAATACCATGACCACCTATACTGACCACCATCCAGGTACCAATACCATGACCACCTCTCATCCAGGTGACCCAATACAATGACCCCTCATCCAGGCACCAATACCATGACCACCCCATCCATCCAATTCCATGACCACCTCATCCAGGCACCAATACCATGACCACCTCATCCAGGTACCAATACCATGACCACCTCATCCAGGCACCAATACCATGACCACCTCATCCAGGTACCAATACCATGACCACCTAACCCAGGTACCAATACCATGACCACCTAATCCAGGTACCAATACCATGACCACCTCATCCAGGTACCAATACCATGACCACCTCATCCAGGTACCAATACCATGACCACCTCATCCAAGCACCAATTCCATGACCCCCTCATCCAGGTACCAATACCATGACCCCCTCATCCCAGGCAGCAATACCATGACCCTCATCCAGGTACCAATACCATGACCACCTAACCTCCAGGGCACCAATACCATGACCACCCTCATCCAGGCACCAATTCCATGACCACCTCATCCGGGCACTAATACCATGACCCCCTCATCCAGGTACCTCATACCATGACCTCATCCAGGCAGCAATACCATGACCCCTCATCCAGGTACCAATACCATGACCACTCTAACCTAGGGCACCAATACCATGACCACCACCCTCATCCAGGCACCAATTCCATGACCACCCCTCATCCAGGTACCAATACCATGACCACCTCATCCAGGTACCAATACCATGACCACCTCATCCAAGCACCAATTCCATGATCACCCTCATCCAGGTACCAATACCATGACCACCTAACCAAGGTACCAATACCATGACCACCTCATCCAGGTACCAATACAATGACCCCCCTCATCCAGGCACCAATACCATGACCACCTCATCCAAGCACCAATTCCATGATCACCTCATCCAGGTACCAATACCATGACCACCTAACCAAGGTACCAATACCATGATCACCTCATCCAGGCACCAATACCATGACCACCTCATCCAAGCACCAATACCATGACCACTCTAACCCAGGGCACTAATACCATGACCACCTAACCCAGGTACCAATGCCATGACCACCTCATCCAGGTACCAATACCATGACCCCCCTCATCCAAGCACCAATACCATGACCACCTCATCCAGGCACCAATTCCATGATCACCTAACCCAGGTACCAATACTATGACCACCTAACCAAGGTACCAATACCATGATCACCTCATCCAGGCACCAATACCATGACCACCTCATCCAAGCACCAATTCCATGATCACCTCATCCAGGTACCAATACCATGACCACCTCATCCAGGCACCAATACCATGACCCCCTCATCCAGGTACCAATACCATGACCACCTAACCCAGGTACCAACACCATGATCACCTCACCCAGGCACCAACACCATGACCCCCCTCATCCAGGCACCAATTCCATGACCACCTCATCCTGGCACTAATACCATGACCACCTAACCCAGGCACTAATACCATGACCACCTCACCCAGGGCACCAATACCATGACCACCTAACCCAGGTACAATACCATGACCACCTAACCAAGGCACAAATACCATGACCACCTCATCCAGGTACCAATACCATGACCACTCTAACCAAGGTACCTCAACACCATGATCACCTCATCCAGGCACCAATACCACGTAGACCACCCCATCCAAGCACCAATACCATGACCACCTAACCCAGGCACTAATACCATGACCACTCTAACCCAGGTACCACCAATACCATGACCACCTCATCCAGGTACCAATACCATGACCCCCTCATCCAGGCACCAATACCATGACCACCTCATCCAGGCACCAATTCCATGATCACCTAACCCAGGTACCAATACCATGACCACTTTCAACCAGGTACCAATACCATGATCACCTCATCCAGGCACCAATACCATGACCACCTCATCCAAGCACCAATTCCATGATCACCTCATCCAGGTACCAATACCATGACCACCCTCACCCAGGCACCAATACCATGACCACTCACCCAGGCACCAATACCATGACCACCTAATCCCAGGTACCAATACCATGACCACCTAACCCAGGCACCAATACCATGACCACCTAACCCAGGCACCAATACCATGACCACCTCATCCAGGTACCAATACCATGACACCTCATCCAGGCACCAATACCATGACCACCTCATCCAGGCACCAATACCATGACCACCTCATCCAGGTACCAATACCATGACCACCTCATCCAGGTACCAATACCATGACGACCTCATCCAGGTACCAATACCATGACGACCTCATCCAGGCACCAATACCATGACCACCTCATCAAGGTACCAATACCATGTCCACCCAACCCAGGTATCAACAGATACCAATTCTGTATCTCCCTCACTATCATATCCAAATGGCAACATGGAGATACCAGGAACCATCCTGTTTAAGATACTAACCTGCGATCTAATAAACTATAAGCAAACTTGAGGTAGTTCATAGCTGGGTGGTTGCTGCTGTCTGTCTGCGTGTGGAAGTACACCACCACGTAGTCCTTCTCCACTACAGGGTCCATCACTCGCACCATGTAGAGCAGGGCCTGAAACACACATGCAGAGCAGGGCCTGAAACACACATGTAGAGAAAGGCCTGAAACACACATGTAGAGCAGGGCCTGAAACACACATGTAGAGAAGCACCTGAAACACACATATAGTGGAGGGCCTGAAACACATGTAGAGAAAGGCTTGAAACACACATGTAGAGCAGGGCCTGAAACACACATGTAGAGCAGGGCCTGAAACACACATGTAGAGAAGCGCCTGAAACACATATAGTGGAGGGCCTGAAACACACATGTAGAGCAGGGCCTGAAACACACATGTAGAGAATCGCCTGAAACACATATAGTGGAGGGCCTGAAACACACATGAAGGGAAGCATCTGATTCACACATGTAGAGCAGGCTCTGAAACACACATGTAGAACTGGGTCTGAAACACACATGTATAAAAGCGTCTGAAACACACATGAAGGGAAGCGTCTGAATCACACATGTAGAGAAGCGACCGAAAAACACATATAGAGCAGGGCCTGAAACACACATGTATAAAAGCGTCTGAAACACACATGTAGAGCAGGGTCTGAAACACACATGTATAAAAGCGTCTGAATCACACATGTAGAACAGGGTCTGAACACACATGTAGAACGGGGTCTGAACACACATGTGGAGCAGGGTCTGAAACACACATGTAGAGCATATATATATATTTAGGCTGATAGTAAAATGCATCCAGTCTCCAGAAAATTCTCAGAGTCAAAGACAATGAAAGCCTTATGTTATTTTATGAGACAATCCTAATGTAGACTTCCATGAATGGCTCACCCTCTCTGGATCCACATTGTTGGCAGGGAAGTTCTTGCCAACAAACACAACCACGGGTCGGCCAACACGGTCCACTCCTGACCGATACAAACATCTCAGGGCTGCTATGTCGGTTAGATCGTCGGTCTTGGAGCGCTTCAAGAACCTGTCATATCTTAGAAGAAAAGAATAAATTAATTGCAATAAGAGAGAGACAGTGTGTTGTTCATTTAACGAATTGTTCTCTAAGTGGGTAATGAAACACTGGCTTTAGGGGTGATTAGTAAATGTGTAAACAACTGAAGTACAAAAGCCCTCCCTATCTCCAGCGAAACAATGACATTCTCTAACCAGCACCCAGTCAATGTCTATCAGGTCACACCCATCAACATCCAGGTTAGAACTGATCTTCAGCAACCCATGCTTGTCGTAAGAGACAACTAATGGAAGTAGGGGCCAGACTTGCTAACTTGGCTGACACTTGTCATCGTATCCCATCTGCTTAGGTAGATGCTCTTGATGTTGAACACTGGATTGTCTGGCCCAGATTTGATTATTTACAGACTACTGCCATATAGCTGGAATATTGCTGAGTGCAGCGTTTAACAACAAACAATCCTGTCACATCATCCGTCTCAATATTCTGTAAATTCCAAATGCATAATCGTACCTCCTTTTCATCTCTATTTTCCTCTGTTCGTCACTACTCTTCCCATAGAGACTTGTTTTCTTCACTTTATCAGGGTTTTCCTCCATTTGAGAAAAGGGATGATGACCCACATCGAGTGCTGTTGATTGCTCAAATGCCCGATTTAGGTCAATGGTCTCTTCAAAGTCTTCTCTTCCTTCTGCCTCTGTAAGCACACCACAATATCACAAGATAAAAATTGCTGTCGTTGATTTTAAAGCAAACATTTGTATCAATCTTTTTATCCAGCCCTACATTGCAGGTTTAATATTTCCTTAACACTTGTACTGTTATACCACTTATATAATATGTAATGTAATATATTTCTACTCACTGAGAGCTGCAAATGCAGGTTTGTCCAAAATGCGAATCTGTCTGTCTTTGATAACAGGTTCACCATTCTCATTCCCTATGTCCCGAGGCAGCAGTTCTTCAGCGTACTTCTCTTCTCGGATATTGCGAGGGAAATACAAGGGCAATAATCCCTTGTACACATCCTGTAACAAAACAATGAGCAAACACATTGTTCTCTCCACTGATACTGCCAGAGAAAACTAAGGGCAATGATTGAGTGAGTTAAGTTTTATGCCGCTTTTAGCAACATTCCAGCGAGGGACACAAGAAATGGGCTTCAAACATGAGGGGAATTGAAAACCAGGGACTTTGGTGTGACGAGTGAACGCTTTAACCACTAGGCTACCCCACTGACAGTAAAGGCAATAATCGCCTGGAATATTTCACATTTCCATCAAGATGAAGACATACGTGTATTTCAAGCAATAATTACTTATATACCAGTCATCTGTTCTTATCATACAATGAGAAGACTGACTGACTGACTGAGTTTGGTTTTACGCCGCTTTTAGCAATATTCCAGCAACATCACAGCCGGGGACACCAGAAATGAGCTTCACACATTGACAATGAGAAGAACAGATGAATGGTATTACTGGTATATAATCACAAAGCCTTGCAACCCTTTGAACTAACAGGTCGCGAAATGTCTGCATAGTAGCATAGTAAATGTACATTTAACACCAGAATGCACCCACTCCCTTCACTTATGTGAGCCACTATACAGCAACTGTCTATTTGCAGGTTGTCCCCATACACTAGGATCTACCTTTGTAGTTATGTGATCATTTTCAATGATTTTTGCAATGCTGTAACTCACCACATTCTCCTCTGAACACACAAACACAACTGTGTCTAGATCGTCACCATACTTCTCCAGGAAGCGTCTGGTCGTCCCTGTGGAAGAATTAATTGTAATTTGTAGTAAACTGAAGCAATGAGAAATAGTTCAGGATGAACAAGTGCTGAAGCCCTCAAACACTGAAAGACTACCATCACTGGAGTGTTACTTGTCTTAGACTGTCCTAGTAGTCTTAGAGTCGCAGACTAGGTCTAATTTCATAGGCTGTGGTTATAATAGTATAGGAATGGATCATAGCTCTGATGAAAATGAATACCACCAAAAAACGGAGAAAGAAGACAGCATGAAATGCTCATATTTGATTGACATAATTGCAGATTTGATATTTTGAATTGATGTATCATTAAGCTGACTTTCATTCTGATTTTCTATTTCTCTCTGTATATGTTTTGTTTATGACCTAGGTAATAAACAAAGGTCAGTGACTCTTATTTCTTGATTTACAGACTCTTGGGAAACAAAAAATTAAGCTTACTGATTCCAATGTGTGCACCACTCTCAGATGGGTAACCCCTCCTGCTTGTGTGAATACAACAGAGACCTATGGAGTGTACGTTGTATTCCCTAGAAAAACAAAGAAAGTCTGGATATACAAACACAACAGATACCCATGGAGTGTATGTTGTATTCCCTAGATAAACACAGAAAGTCTGGATAAAACAAACACGACAGCGACCTATGGAGTGTATGTTGTATTTCCTAGATAAACACAGAAAGTCTGGAAAAACAAACAACAAAGACCCATGGAGCCTATGTTGTATTCCCTAGATAAGCACAGAAAGTCACGACAGAGACCTATGGAGTGTATGTTGTATTTCCTAGATAAACACAGAAAGTTTGGATAAACAAACACGACAGAGACCTATAGAGTGTATGTTGTATTCCCTAGATATACACAGAAATTCTGGATAAACAAACACAACAGAGACCCATGGAGTCTATGTTGTATTCCCTAGATAAACACAGAGAATCTGGATAAACAAACACAACAGAGACCCATGGAGTGTATGTTGTATTCCCTGGATAAACACAGAAAGTCTGGATAAACAAACACAACAGAGACGTAGATAAACACAGAACATGTTGATAAACCAGCAAAACCTAGGGTATGAATGTTGATGTTGTTCAATGCAGAATGAAGCGATAAGCAAATTAAACACAGGCCAAGAATGTTGTATTTTGAAGATAAACAAGGAACATTTTGACAAACACATATAAGAAAGGCCGAGGTAATGAATGTTGTATTCCCAAAGTAAATACAGAAAGTGTTTTATGTAATATATTACCTGCACAATTGTAATGTGTTCCTGTAGCTATTGTAGAGGGCGCTCTCGGCCGCCATCACATACTTGATGTTAAACCGGGGGCCGACTGTATGGATGATATGACGTGCAGGAAGGTTGTGGCCTTTTGTAATCTTTGCCTCGCCTGTCTTGCAAACTGAACAGAAAAGAGTGAGTGAGGGAGTGAGTGAGTGAGCATGCTTTAAAGGTGAGGTGAGGTGAAATTGGGTTTAACGTCGTGCTTGAGAATATTTCACTCATATGACGACATGCATGCGTGTGTATGTGAATGTGCGGCTGCTTGTACTAACCCAGACTTAAGCTTGTTTTATAGTGCTAGCCCACTGAGATACCATGCCGCAGTGAAGCATGACCCAACTCAGACACATTATACTGACTCCGAGCCGACCAGTCCTTGTTGTACCCATTAATGGCGAGCGCCAGGCAGGGACCAACAAGTACCATATTTTAACGTCTTTTGGTATGACGCGTCCGGGGATCGAACACGCGACCTTCCGCTCTCCGGGCGGACGCTCTAACCACTACACCACGGATGGGGGTTGCATGCTTTAAAGGCTTCTTTTAGCAATATTGTGCAAGGAGAGAAAAGAAACATTATGACACAACTGAATGAGGAAGTGATAAGCATGGTTTTAAAACCTCTTTTAGCAGCATTGTGCCCGGAATTGCCAGCAACATGTGTAACATCTTGTATCCATGACCAGAAAGACTTTAATAACTTGGTTACCCTATCACCCTGGGCCCAGATTATCGAAGCTCTCTTAGCGCTAAGATAGTCGTAAGTGCCATACATTAACATTAACTTACGACTATCTTAGCGCTAAGAGAGCTTCGAAAATCTAGGCCCTTGTTCATAACCAATGGTAGAAGATATTAACATATACAAAAGGTACAAGATCTAATTTGCATTTGTCCTCTACAGCCTATGTGATGCGTTTCTGGCCTGCTCATATTTCCGAAATAGCATTACTGACACAAAGTTGTATACCCACATCAGGATGGGAGTGGGCTTGCGCTTTACGATTGAGCACAATTGTATGCCCTTTCACAGGGTTTTACATGACACATGATTCCTGTGTATTTGACGCAACAATTTTGTAAAAGACTCTCAAAATATTATCATACGAGTCAAGCTTGACGCAAGTTTTATGAGTTACCTTCACAATTCAGTTCAGAGTCAATAAAATCGATCTGATAAGCAAACAATGATAGTTTTCGTGAGGTCTTCATTAATTTAGATTTTTCTTTCAATTCATGTTAATAACTGTATGTTACAGTGAATAAATCACAAGCCGGATTATTTGTTCAGTATACTCAAGTTTGTTATGACTGAACTGAACTGTGAAAAATATAGTGTTTATTAACTAACATATGAATGAGAATACAACACATAAACAATAAAACCTTTCCCTTTTGATATACACACATAAATATTATGCTAACATTTAATGACTCCCAAATATTGAAAATGACTACCAAAAATGAATACTGTGGGTCACCATGACTCTCTTTTTTCAAAGTCTGTGTAAAACCCTGCTTTCATCAGGAGTGAACAGAACAGAGCAGGATTTTATTATGAAAAATCATACAAAATGATATAGAGAACATGCATACAATGTGCCATTATGGCTTATATACATCTACATGTATTAGAAATGTATAATTGAAACAGGGACAATAGAGTTTTTGTTGAACTGGGCAGTTTCTGTACTAAAGGAGGGGTTGTTGGATTTCATGAGGAAATGAACTTATCAATATGATGGTTATTACAAAAATAACTAGGGATTGTACTCTTTCTTACATCATAAGAACTGTACATAAGATACAGATATAATATGAAATATGTCACATAAACATGGTGGTTACAAATTGTACATATTCTATTTTCTATGTCTATATTAGACCATTTGCTGGTTTCAACCGGTAATCTACGATTGCATGTTCGCAGTTTATCAACCAAATACGTTGTTTCAGTGGAAGGCTGATCAAATAAGGTTCTAAGTTGGCAGTATGGTTACATAACGGGAAGTATTTACTTTTAGATGAATTTTGAAGGGCAGCAATCCATGAATGCTTTAACTGATCTATAAGTGTACATTTAACGTAGTTTTTCAGTCAGGATACGGAAAGACAACTTTGTGACAGCCATATGTATAAGATATAGTGTTGGGAATTGGTTGAAATCTCACAATTGATGATTGCTTCATTACCAACGAACAATCATCGACAAAAATTGGTTAGCGTCATTTTTCAGATTTTCCTATCCAGGTTGTTATTGCAGATATGTATAACATGATGCAACTTGCTACTTTAAAGTGATGACTAATATATCATGAACATAAACTTCCCGGAGTCTTCAAGAAATATTCAGTCATGGCGCTTCAGTTAGCGAAGTGAGTTTTCTAAGAATTAAACACGTTTTCAGGCCCCGACAACTTCAACGATATGTTCCATTTTGTCAAGTATTTCAAAGACTAAAACAGTAGATCCAAAATCGTTTATGTTCGATTATGAGAAAATGTGATCGATTGCTTGGTCGTTTGGTCACTGCGAACAATCTTCGATTATTTAAATTAATCGGAACACCACTAATAATATAGCCATACAGTTTGAAGTATACAATAAGAATGACCTGCCATCTCTTAAACCATATTCTATGTTTACTAAAAACATGTTCTCAGTATGAATTTTACTTTACTTCTACACTTCATTCAAATGGCACTTCTTTACCGCAGGGGCGATGGGGTAGCCTAGTGGTTAAAGCGTTGGCTCGTCACGCCGAAGACCCTGGTTCGAATCCCCACATGGGTACATTGTGTGAAGCCCATTTCTGGTGTCCCCCGCCGTGATGTTGCTGGAATATTGCTAAAAGTGGCGTAAAATCAAACTCAGTCAGTCAGTCAGTCTTTACCGCAAAATTGTGTCATCCAATATGACAGTGATATTATTCCATCATTACAACATCCAGAACAGAAAGGGGAACCGAATATGGGTCAAATGCCCTCCAGCTAAAGAAGGACAAGCCCTTAACTGTTTCTATTTTCCAAAAACAGAGACCAACAGAAACAATGTAGACAAAGATAACAACAAATGCTACCATGTGATACTATTTGGCTGAGATGTGATAGTTGAAGATACAAGAATACCTGTAGACCTGGAAATAGCTGTAAACAAATGATTGTTTTTGTTTGTTTGTTGTTTAATGGCACACCTAGACTAACAACTAGTCTCTGAAATGAACATATTTTACAGAAAAAATAGTTTATAATAAAAAAATGAAATACAATGAAAAGGAGCCCTGAGACTTTCTTCATTTTCAGGGACTATTTTTATTTTTCATTTTTTTTTATTTTCATGAAACAAAAGTCTTCTATCATAATGGTAGACTACATTTTCAGAGACTAAACAAATCTGCAGAGAGATATTTATTGGAATGTGTGTTTGACAGGAATATTTATTGCTTAGCCTTCCCACTGTCGGAGGTGTGGGCAGTTCAGGCAGCTGTACGTATAAAGTGTCTCCAGATTTTGAGAGCAAGCATAGGGATACCAGCTTAGGGTAGCATCTTCTGAGATTCCTATTCATAGAAAATTGGATCTCTCAATAACTCCATTTTGGTCACCAAAGTTACTAACATTTCTTAAAAATCCAAAGGTTCTATCTGCACTATATGTGGCAGTTTGATGTCCCATCACACATTAGAAACTTTTATATGGTAGGTACTAAGACAGAGTCATGTCATCTGATTGAAATGTTTAGTTCACAGTGAATGATTTACACATACAGTGTAATGTTTAGGTCAGGTAACTCGAGTGGTCAATGCTTGTGAAATCATTTGAAAGGACTGCCATTGATTGGGACAAATGTTCTGTGAATTTGCTTTCACTGGTGGTGAAGCAATTACCTCATCAACATTCCAATTAAATGTTACCATGAGATGGAAAACCTTTTGTAATCATCCCCTCTCCTTATGACAATGAAAACATACAGATTTTATGAGTCATCAAATCTGTAGGGTAATCACACATGTTGTTTGGCTGGAGTGGAAGGACAGGGAAGAAGCAGGAGGCCTTGGCTCAGTGTGGGGTTTTGGGGTGTGGTGGAGGAGGCTCACAGGTTCTGCCACAGGTTCATATTAAACACCATTGACAGCTAGAGATCAACTGATAATTACAAGCGCTGTGCTCGCTTGTGAATTCAGCATATTGGTACAGACCCTGAAACTGGGGAAATCTAGACTTGCCACATTATCTAGACTTGCATGGGCTTTCCTGGATGTGTTTGTTTCAGGGTCTGTATAACAGACTACGCCACACCCAGCAATATTCCAGCTATATGGTGGCGTCTGTAAATAATTGTGTCTGGACCAGACAATCCAGTGATCAACAGCATGAGCATCTATCTACACAATTGGGATATCATGACATGTGTCACCAAGTCAAAGAGCCTGACCACCGAATTCCTGTAAACAAACTGACTTACCACTTATATAATTGTAAACATACTGACTTACCTCTTATATTATTGGATATTTCTTTATACAGTTCAGGCCCGGCCTTCTTAAATATTCCATCACTTTCATTATTTCTATCGTTGAGGTGTTCATTTGTTGTGTTGACAATAGCATGAACATTCAGTCTCGTCAAATCTCCATTCCTGAAAAATTCCAATTCAAAAGGTGAGGTAATATACCCTGAATGGATACTGGTGGAAAGGTGTGTGTGTAGGAAGGAGTGAATGAATGAGTATGGCTTTCTTGCATTATTCTGGCAATATCACCGTGGGGACATCAGAAATGAGCTTTACCAACAGTATACCCATCTAAGGAATTGAACCTGGGCCTTTTTAGTGATGAGGGTATGCTTTTACCATTAGGCTCACCCACTGGCTGTAAGTGAGTGAATATAGACTTATGAAAATAATAATTGGCCACTTATATAGCGCTGAACTCCACGCCGCAGGGACAAGAACAGAACAGTGGACATTATTACCCTGGATAACCCAAGTTGCCTGTGAGGTGCTGGAAGGTTTACAGTCAAATGGCTTATACCACTTGGTACCCATTTTCTTCTGGGTGGCTAGAGGCATTTTTTTAACAAACTCACTTGACCACATGGGTGCTTTGTTGTGGGGCCTAAGAGTCCTAGAAATTCTCAGAAGGATAGCATATGTAGGTGAGAGGAAAGTGAGTAAGTGAGTTTAGTTTTTTTGCCACACTCAGCAATATTCCAGCTATATGCCGGCGTTCTGTAAATAATTGAGTCTGGACCAGACAGTCCAGTGATCGACACCATCAGCATCAATCTACACAATTGGGAACCGATGACATGTGTCAACCAAGTCAGTGAGCCTTACCACCTGGTCCCGTTAGTCGCCTCTTACAACAAGCATGGGTTAATGAAGACCGATTCTAACCGACATCTTCACGGGTTTAAGAGGAAAGCAGGGCTCCAGATAAATTTTCAACATCAAAAGTACGTACTCCTTACTTTTTCAATGCAGGAGTACTGGAAAGCCTTAAGAGTACATCTAGAGTGCTTAATGGAATTTAATGGAGTATCAGTAATCTTGTGTTTCGTTTCATATATGCACAACAACATTGCTACTCTTGTGTAAACAGGTCCATAAACAATAAAACAATACCTTTTCAGATAAATATGTCTGTAAATGATTCTAAGACCGTACACCATTGCTGTCGTGTGTATCTGCTACGTTTTCTAAATTATTTCCTGCCGTATCATGCACGTTTTATATCCGTACATACGCCGATACGGCCCTTATCTGGAGCCCTGGGAAAGCACTATGTTCAACGGCTCACAGAGTGATGAGTATTATTCAGTGACAACAGGGTTGTACGTACAGTTGTATATATTCGAACAATACATGCTACACATCCATCCAATATTTCCCACATTGTCTCATCTATAAGACCTGAAAGGAATCTGTTTTGGAACAGGTCACCAACGACCTTGGTAGGTTGCAAGAGGAGACTAGGGCATCAAATAGTAAGACTCATTGAGTTTGTTGTCTCTGTGTTTTTGTCTAGATGATTAGGATTGTTGATCATAATATCAATCACTGGATTATCGGGATCAGATTTAGTTATTTACAGGCTGCTATCATGTCGTTAGAATTTTGATGAGCATGGCGTTAAACAACAAAGCGAGACAATAATTCAAGTAATATGACACAGGGCTCCAGATAAGGGTCGTATCGGCATATGTATGGATAACAAATATGTAAGATACGGTAGGAAATAATTTAGAAAGCGTAGCAGATACGCACCACAGCAATGATGTACGGTCTTAGAATCATTTACAGACGTATTTATCTGAAAAAGTATTGTTTTATTGTTTATTGACCTGTTTACACAAGAGTAGCAATGTTGTGGTGCATATATGAAGCGAAACACAAGATTACTGATATGCCATTAATTTCAATTCAGTACTCTAAATGTACTCTTAAGGTTTTCCAGTACTCCTATACTGAATAAATAAGGAGTACGTACTCCTGATCATGAAAAATTATCTGGAGCCCTGATGACATATGCCTAATTGCAAGCAAGAAAAGTGTTAATGATATTATCCACCTCACCCAGGGAACAAGGAGGTAAAATCTGAGGGTTATAACAGGGAGTTATTTAACTATTCATGGGTGGTTATTCATCTCCAGGTCTAGTCATACAATCAGAACATAGTGGAAAATGTTCAATCAGAACACAGAGCCACAAACTGATGCAGTCACATGTGTCATCTCACCACAGAATAATTTTTGCATTCAAGTCATTTCGCCACGGGAATGGAGAACATCGTTCATCTTCACTGTTATTTCTTTCACCATATTCAGGCAGCTGAGTCAGATTCCAGCGTGTCAGTTCTTCAATATTTACAACATCATCTCTCGCACCCAAAGGATCCATGTCTTTTTCAAAGATGTGTGCCAAGGATGAAAGCTGGCTGGCTGGTTATATCATCCCACGGTTGTATCCTTTAGATAAACACCACAGTAGTACATAGTCCACTAATCAGTGATCATGGCAACCTGAAACAAGATGTGGTTTGAAATCAAGCATCTGTTGTGTCTTTGACATTTTATAAATAAATTACTCAATGTTCATCAGATTTTCACATGTTGAAGAGTAAAGTGGAATAAATACATAGATTTTCTGGGAGGAATATCCTTTTCAAGTTATGTGGCAGGATATACAAATATTTGTTTTCTCATTTTCTGTTTTACAGGATTTCATATCATCATAATATTTCATTGATGGAGATCTATGTTATTCATAAAAAAAAATATTTTGGTATTCTAACAACTTACCTACGTTACCTAATCTAAATATTACGTAACTAGCGTTAACTAGCTTCAACGTTTTATAAATATTGTGATCACCACCTAAAATTACCTGACAACTGTATGAATCATGTGTAAGCATCATACACTCTCGGGTCAGAAAATTGTTTTGGTCACCAACGACTTTTCTACTTATCTTGCCCCAATCTAAGACAGTATCTTCTTATGTCACATGCATCTCGCGATATTCCAGTCGTGGGCAGTAAGAATAAAAAACAGTCAATACTGCGAAAAACACAGCAAACCATATGAAATAGGATAACGAAAATGGACGTTTATAATTTCCCTCAGCTGACGACTGCGGAACCCTTTCTCAAGCCGATGACAAGGAGGAAGTGCTACTGAGACTGGAAGCCCTACTTCTTAAACTTTTCCTTCAGATCGTCTGAAACAGCCTTAGACATAAACCAATTATACTCCAAACTAAACATATTTAACGCTAGAATGATGCCAAACCTTTCAAAACAATATGAGCGCTGACAGCTTATATTACAGAGTTTGGAAACTGTCTTCTGCTCAAGTTCACAGCTCGCGTGAGTCCGCCATTTTGTTCAGTCATGTGACTTTATAAACAACGATGAACTCGCCTGATTATAGGGGTGTTGCATTCATGTATGCTGTAAATGACTGCATCTGACAAACGAAACTAGGTGATAAAATTAGATGTACTTCCATTTCTTGTAGACTGCTTCTTTCCCTTGTCAGTAATAAAGTCATCCCTTGCGAGAAATGGACATGTCAAGGGAAGTAACTCGTGTTTTGTAGCCCGAACGAATCCAGTAATGGCAGTGGCCTTGACGCCTTCGTCCAAGTTCGAGACTTACTGTAGACGGTTTCTTTAAAATTAAGTACAGGAGGGAATAGTGTGTTTTTTTTTGCATACTCTGAACGTGACACTTTGGGACCGGTAACACGAAATAGACTGACATGCGGATTTCAATGCTAGAACTGAATGGGACACTTAATGATGACATTGTATTAGTGTGATCATAAGCTCAAAGATAAACATTTATTAATTTGTAGTACTATGCAAATAAACATTTAACTACATACATGCAGGGTATTTCCTAGACTTGCAATAGTCTCCAAGGTAATAATTAATAATTTAAATGATAATTTCTAATACATAAATAACAGACTGGCGTCCTGTCTAGACTTGCCTCTTTAAAGGAGAGAATTTCAATACATCCATGGGATTAGCATTCAGTACAGCCTTGGAGCAAGGCTAGGTATTGCACTGAAATTTTATTTACATTCAGGCCGTTTTCGGCAGCGTCGTCAGAGGTACAAACCAAAAATATTCAACAACCTAATACATATAAATATAGGATAGGTATAAAACATATTTACAATAACGCCCTCATCAACAAAAAAACAACCCGCCTATGGTGATGCGGTGATGACAATGGATTGAGCCGACGGACAGTACTTGTAATAACAAGATTTCGATAAGATGGGTTGATAACAGTGAACAGTTCGAATATAATATTACAATGTCATGTTAGAGATAACGAGCAATAGTCATATTGTATTACTGTAATCGTAAGAACACCTCTAATTGCAATTCTCTTGTGTCCGGAAAAACTGTTGTAATAACATTTTATCTGTTGATATATACATTGTATCAACCTGAGTTTACAGTCGTCGATTTTTGTGCATTTGTGTGAGACGATGACGAATGCAGCAGATTACTACAAAGTGGACTGACCCGTGAAGATCAGGGTTAGAATTGATCTTCGGTAACCCATGCTTGTCGTAAAAGCCGACTAACGGGATCGGGTGGTCAAGCTCGTTGACTTGGTTGACACATGTCATCGTATCCCAGTTGCGTAGATCGATGCTCTTGCTGTTGATCACTGGATTGTCTGGCCCAGACTCGATTATTTACAGAGCGCCGCAATATAGCTGGAATAGTGCTGAGTGCGGCGTAAAACTAAACTCACTCACTCATACTCGCTCACAAAGTGGATCGGCATGTACCATGAATCCAGTCGATTGCTGCTAAATGAACCGGCGTGTTCCATGAATCCAGCAGATTGCTGCCAAGTGGACCGGCTTGTTCCATGAATCCAGTAGCTTGCTGCCAAGTGGACCTGCGTGTTCCATGAATCTAGTAGATTGCTGTTAAGTGACCCTGCGTGTTCCATGAATCTAGTAGGTTGCTGCTAAGTGGACCTGCCTGTTCCATGAATCTAGTAGGTTGCTGCCAAGTGGACCTGCGTGTACCATGAATCCAGTAGATTACTGGCGAGTCGTCCTACACGCCGAATGTTTTTAAATGCTGTTTTAGTGCAAACCATTTCAATAAGTTTCTATAAAACTTCATTTATTCAAAAGACATAATTGTTTCAGTATACGTCTAATGTGCACTGAAATTGTATCAAATTTGTCTGTTTAATGTCAGCAAACATATCCCCTCGTATCTTAAACCCCCCTCCGCGCAGGACCCTAAATTCTCAACGCTATCTACATACTAGTACATTAACGCCTCCTTACGCCGGCGGATCTTACGTATGTACATGTACACAGGTCAGTGACAGGTCAGTGACCTTGTAATATCACTATCTATAAGATTACGGATTGTGCAGCTAGTCGTGGTTTTGGCCAAGGCCGTCACCTCACCAACGACCGCGTCGGCGATGAGGAATCTCCCGCTCGACTTCTGCATGTCTGTAAGTGACGCAGCGGGTCTCCGCACCCAGAACACTAGCCATCCACGGCCCGGTGTGTGTTCTGTCACGTGTTTACCACCAACTTGTATCATTTCAACTATTATTCCCCAAACTATGAAACAATAAACATGGCATCTGTCTTCCTAAACCGACTTTCATCTTCCATCCGTTGTCCACCATCCTGAACTACCTTCCGATGGCGGCGAAATGAACCCCCTTGGACAAATGTATGCCCACATGTGAGTAACTGAATTTAGTTTTACGCCGCTTTTAGCAATATTCTAGCAATATCACGGCGGGGGACACTAGCAACGGGCTTCACGCATTGCATCCATGTGGGGAATCGAACCCGGGTCTTCGGCGTGACGAGCCAACGCTTTAACCACTAGGCTACCCCACCGTCCCAGTCATTTTCAGAAGTTCAACCATGTAATGCGTATGTGTTTATGAATGTGTTTATCAATCACTCTCAACTAGTATTCGCACCCGTGACGATCCCGGTTAGAATTGGTCTTTAGCAACATATGGATGTCGTAAGAGGCGACTAACGTGATCGGATGCTATATCACGGCGGGGGACACTAGCAACGGGCTTCACGCATTGTACCCATGTGGGGAATCGAACTCGGATCTTCGGCGTGACGAGCGAATGCTTTACCCACTATGCTATACCACCGCCCTTCCCACCCGTGGATAAGAAGGTATGAATAACTCCACTGATCAACCTTTCAGCCATCGACGGCAATCTACACTATCCATTATGTAGCAGATCGATATATTGAGATATTGATTATTGACATTTTGAGTTCACATCAGCGTATTTTCATGGAACCTTGGGTATTTCACTCGCAAATAATGTTCGGTTAATACGAGTTGAATAATTGGTGTGCTGAAAAACTTATGTAGAACAGTAAGCTGATGCTTTGATTGAAGGGGTGTGTGTGTGTGTGTGTGTGTGTGTGTGTGTGTGTGTGTGTGTTTAGCCTAATGGTTAAAGCGTCCATGATCTGCGCAAATTGGAACCGGTGACATGTGTCAACCAACCCAGCGAGCCTGACCACCCGACCCCGTTAGTCACCTCTTACGACAGCATGGGTTACTGAAGGTTCATTCTAAACCGGACCTTCACGGTTGAGATTTGTGGAATGAAAGGTAGAACTGTATCACTGTGATGTTCAATGATGGACAGAGCTGTACAACTGAAGTGTTGAATGAAGGCTAGGACTGTATAATCTATTTGTGGAAGGAAAGGTAGAGCTGTATCACTGTAATGTTCAACTGACTGACTGAATTTTGGTTTTACGCCGCTTTTAGCAATATTCCAGCAACATCACAGCGGGGGACACCAGAAATGGGCTTCACAAATTGTACCCATGTGGGGATTCGAACCCGGGTCTTCGGCGTGACGAGCCAACGCTTTAACCACTGGGCTACCCCACCGCCCCTGTAATGCTGAATGATGGACAGAGCTGTACGACTGAAGTGTTGAATGAAGGTCAGGACTGTATACTCTATTTGTTGAATGAAAGGTACAGCTGTATAACTGTAATGCTGAATGAAAGCTGTATAATTTATATGTAGAATAAAGGGTAGAATATTACAGTTCATGTTTTGAATTAAAGGTAAAACGGTACATGTGATGTGTTGAATAAAAGGTAAACGCTATACTATATGTGTTGAATAAAAGGTAAAACGGTATATTTGATGTGTTGAATAAACGGTAAAACGGTACATGTGATGTGTTGAATAAAAGGTAAAACGCTATATTAAATGTGTTGAATAAAAGGTAAAAAGGAAAATTTGATGTGTTGAATAAACGGTAAAACGCTATATTATATGTGTTGAATAAAAGGTAAAACGCTATATTATATGTGTTGAATAAAAGGTAAAACGCTATATTATATGTGTTGAATAAAAGTTAAAACGCTATATTATATGTGTTGAATAAAAGGTAAAACGGTATATTTGATGTGTTGAATGAAAGGTAAAACGCTATATTATATGTGTTGAATAAAAGGTAAAACGCTATATTATATGTGTTGAATAAAAGGTAAAACGCTATATTATATGTGTTGAATAAAAGTTGAAACGATATCTTTGATGTGTTCATAAAAGGTAAACTGATACCTTTGATGTGTTGTGATGAAAACCCTTTCATAGAGCTTCGAATGCTGACTTTTGGACATCCAACATCATGTACAGTCATGGAAATTATTACTCATAAAGGAGGCAGAGATGGTGACAAACATATCAATATGGTAGCGAATGAATCCAAACTTGTATTCCAGATACAGTGTATTATTTAGGAACTTGCTTGTCGTAGAAACCGGAATTGAGGATCGGATGATTTAAGTGTTGAGCTTATGTTGGGCCTATGCTAATGTATTCCGACGGCGAAGAAGGTTGATGATAGTGTTAGCCATTATTGCTGACTGTGGGTTTGAATAACTAACCCAATAACTCACTCATTCACTTCAAGAGACAGATAGACAACTCATTGGATTCTTTGTTCGTTGTTGTTTAATATTCTTTCTTTCCCTCATGGGAGATCGGATAGAGAGTGTTAGATATCCCGTAATGCTCCCTGTCATTACAACTCTCACAGTACCTCTGCTGCAGGAAGCCGCCATGTGATGATTCTTCACATCTTACACAGTCCTTTCATGATTTTGCAAGCATTTTGAATCTGGTTCATTTTTGACGAGTCTACACATTTAGATAAACAGGTAGTAGAATTGTTAATTGTCTTTGAGAACGTATCCTAAAATGGGGAAACTATTTCAGCATTGGCATTATCTTTTCTTTACGTTTGTGATGCGGCTCCACCACCGACGACAGTGTCTTTATATATACATAGGCAAGGTGAAGGAAAACAGAACAATGACAAGTTAAGCGGAGGTTTCAGCTCGTAAAACAATCCAACACAATCCAACACAACCCCACATATGTCAAACATGTAAAAGTTGTCTTCTTATGATAAAAGATGCTCTGACCACATAAACACAGTGGCATAAGCTACAGGGCA